CCAAAAATCTTAGACGCTCTTTGTATTTTTTAATAAAAATAATTTTTACAGAGCAGATCACTGAAGAGACGCCATCTGTTTATAGTTTATAGCCCAGATTTGTGAAAAATGGGTCGACTTTCAGTAGAAAAAATAATTGTGAGTTCAGCTTCTTTTATTATAAGGTTTTAAAATCCATCTATTTGACTGGAAAGAAGGCAGTTACAGCTCCCATATGACCCCCACCTTTAGAATGAAGCTTACGAAATATGAAAGTTATGAAATAAAAAATATGACGTTTTGGAACCACCGGTGGTTCCAAGGAGTCAAAAAGGTTAAAAACGCTATATTTTGGTGTTTTACACTAATGCTCAATCACTGAGTTCATTCATATTAGGCCAATTTCTTTGAATTTGCATGTATAAAATGATCAATGATAAAACTAATTTCATAAGTCTAACAGTTTGCAGGAGGCTGTAGAAATGAAGAGACTTTGGATGATAAACGGAGCTGCGAGTGATTTCCTTGAGAATAAACTTATAAAGAAACTGATGTCCACCGTGACTCATATTTGAAAAGCGATAAAATCTCACTAATTAAACTGCTATTTATAGTATTTTAGTGACAACAAATTCCAATGAACAGAAATTATAGCTTATTATTTAATAACAGTTCCATATTTTCTTATTCCATGTCCTAACTTTGTTATTCCCAAAATGCTGTAAACTGTGAATAAAGTGTTGGTTTAAATTTTGGTTTTCAGTTAATATCATTTCAATCTGCACTGTATGTTATTCTTGTTGAATAACAATTATAATGAAAAGTGACACCAAACTTTTGAGTGGTAATGTACCTTTTGAACTTTATTTATTTATATTTTGTAAATATACAGTCATTCCAAATTTGATGCCTGCAACACGTTCCAAAAAAGTTGGAACAGGAGAATGTTTTCACTTTTCCTTTAATAGTGCTTAATAAACGTGTGGGGACTGAAGACACAAACTGATCCAGTTTTGAAAGCCTTTGTTGTCATATTTTGTGCTTCACAATGCACCACAATGGGAGACACTTCTGGACTGCAGGCAGGTCAGTTCAGCTGTTACGAATTCTGATTATTCTTCCATGCTGTTGTAACACGTTTGTTTATTTTGCCATGTTGAAATAATACATAAACAATAATCCATAAACAATCTGAAAGGTTGACAATACACAATACACCTTTCCACTGAGCATCAGTCCATTTCAGTTGAGCTCGAGCCCAGAGAAGTCGGCGGCGTTTCTGGATCTTGTTGACATAATACAGTATCCGCTGTGTATAGTATAGTCTTAATTTGTATTTGTGGGTGCAGCAATGAACAGTGTTTATTGACAATCCCGAGTCCATGTGCTGATCTCCATCATAGAAGCATGCTGGTTTTTAATGGAGGGGCTGTCTGAGAGGTTAGAGGTCACAGGTATTCGTTTGTGGTTTTCAGCCTTTTCCATTTACGCACAGAGATTTCTCCAGATTCCCTGAATCCTTTGATGTTTTATGCAACGTAGAGGATGAAATACCTAAAATCCTCGTAAGTGCTTATTGAGGAACAAGGTTGGTAATTCTGTAACGCATTTTCCTCAATCATAAAGGACTCAGCCTTTCATAGATGCTCCTCTTTTACCCAAACATGATTGTATCACCTGTTAAGGATGTTTCTCTACAACATTTTTGGTCTTAAATGACCCCTGTCCAGACTTTATTGGCACCAACATCAGAATGAGTGTATATTAAAAAAAAACAAAAAAAAAAACAATGATACTGATGAGATAAAAAAAATTAAATATCCTTTTTTTTGTGCTGCTTTTGTTTCAACGTAGATTTATAAATCACTGCTTTCTGTTTTTATTAGCATTTTACACACTGGCTCAACTTATAATGCCTAATATTCAGTGAGCTTTCAGACAGGAGCCGTGCTGGGCTCAGCACCGAAATCACTGTGAAAGCAGTAACAGGTAGCTGATGTAATGATGCTAGAACAGATGTAGAGCGATGTTCTGCATTTTCAGTTGGTGTTAACAGCATCAGTGTCCTCTGCAGCGTTTAGACTCACATCATTTACTGTTTTCACCTGACCTGTTTCAGCTCTGAGGCTCAGAATGAAACTGGGTCAAACATTTCACCAACATTCTTTCAGTTTAAGACGCGCGTTCGTCAGCGCAGTCAATATATATTCAGTATATTTTCCATATACTAATAAACTGGAGCACTTTTATGAAAGTTTTCCTGAGTTTAGATTTTGCGTTGTTTGTTGAAATGCTTTGTCTGCTCTGATCCGTTGCATTTTGCTACATTTTTGTACTGTACATGCAAAATAAAGGGCCAGTATTGTGCTGTGTAGCCTTATAGAGACTGCACCAATCTCTGTATACGACCTTTATGGATTATTCTACCGAATTAGCTAAAACTGCGCTCCCACAGTATAAAATAAAAAATATATATTTAAAAAAATAATGAAGTTTTCAAATCGTGGAAATTTCCAAGGATTATGTTCTGATCTATTTAAACCCAAAGCATTAATAGAGATAATATTCAGCTAAATATATACAAAATCATAATTTATAGGGTACTTTCTATTGGGAGGAGTCTGTCCCAAACCCTAACACCTAAATTTACACACATGGTAATAATAGTTTATTTTTTTAATTAAAAATTTCAAAAAATTCTGTCCCATGTTTTCATGTCACTACCGAAACAGAGTTTAAGTCCGTAGGCGGAGTCTTATTTTAGCCACGCCCCTGCATTTTAGAGCAGGAAGTGAGGCTGCATCCCTGTTCCTCATGGCCACATGGTGAGCAGTTAGATCCCATTGTTTTGAAGTAAATGTGTCCCAAAGTCTGAAAATCAGTGTGGAACATTAAGAATCGTCATATTTTCTGTAGTTCAGCACTTTTTAGTGTTTTAATGTAAAATATGATGATTTTCTGTGTGAACAGCTGTTCAAAGCTGTGTTTGCTGAGTTTCTGAACTCAAAATGAGCTAAAATTGTCACTGAAACAGTCACTTCTGAAACAGTCACTTCTGAAACTGTCACTATTGAAACATTCGGTAAAGTTTGGTAGAGTGATGATTGTTTTGGTAGTGACAAAATGGAATCAATCATTAGTTTTAATAAAATAAACGTCATTAAGGTTTAGAGTCACTCAGAGCAAAAGGATTTTAGTCTAAAGTCCCAAATGTGTTTTCAATTGACTTAGTAGTTCAGCATCATAACCCACTTTCAAATTATAGTCTTAAAGGGATAGTTCCACCAATTTTTCAAAATTTCTTAATAAGTGTGAGATGTGAACAGAGAGATTCAGAGTGGTTTGGTGTGAAATGGTTCAGGTTTCTTTACAGTGGTGGTGATAGGAACCAGGGCTCATGATATATACTGGTTCTCTTAGTGATCTGCAGAAGGTCAGTATTTTTGCTCTATCCCTATCTGTCAGGAGTTGGATTCAAACAAAAATATGGACTGAGGGTCCTTCAGTGACCAGTGAACCTACATGTGTCTTCTGAGTTTATATGGAATGTTGATGATGGAAAATAGTGATAAATCTGACATAATAAGTTTTCTTTGGGGACTATTTTACATCATACACTCTGCATGTATCCCTCCACCATGAATGTTTGGATAAATACATTTTAGCCCAAAATCTTCTCAAAACTATCATAAAACAGTGTCTCAGTCATCAGGCAGTGAATTCATAACCATTTCATGTAGGAACTTTCTGTGAGGGAGCTTTTAGAGGTGGACGTCTGGTTCCTATCATCACCACTGTGAACAGTTCTGACTCGGTAAGTTTCTCTAGAACAGAGCGTTTCACACCAAACCGCACTGAACGACTCTGATTACATCTTAAACATTTATTAGTGCAGAAATGTTGAAACATAAGTGGAATTCCCAGCTAGAAATGTTTTGTTCTAAAATGTTCCCAGAATATTACGCACATGTTCTATTAATAATTTTAGTGGGACGTTTTTTTTTGTTCCCCAATGTTCTTCTGGGAACGTTCTCTAAAAACATCATGTAATATAATCTGTGGCCCTGACAACTTCCTCAAAATCTCTTCTGAATATTGCAGTTAAAACATTGTTTTAGTTCACATTTCCCTTTATAGGAACATTATTTGACATGAAACATTTCCTCTAAACATTATTTAAAATTAGATTCTTTGAACATTATTAGACCTTGTAGGTAACGTTAGCCAAAGTTGTAGGGAACATTTCCTGCCAGCTGGGATTCCCCTTTCAAGTGACGTCATTTGATTAAAAATAGCTCATTTTAAAGCTTAGCACTTTTTAAAGAGAGAATGTTGTGTTTATATCTACTGAATCAAGGTTTTAGTATCAGTATCAGTCAATATAAAGTCATATTGTGCCATCACTCATGACCGTTTCACATCTTTAGAGCAATAACTTAATCAATCAACCTTTACGTAACCTCGGAGAACATTGAGGATGACCCTCATTTACAATGTTGCTGAGTTGATACAGAACAAGGGATTGATAATGTGTAAGAGCATATCAAATAAGAAAATAAATTTAATAAAAAAATGACTCAAATCAGGTAAGTATAAAAAAATGAAACATTAATAATACAAATACATAAACATACAATAAAAAATATACAATTATTAAAACATAGCTAAAATGTAAAGGTTAATGAAATCAATTCAAATCAAAGTGAAATAAAAGGTGAATAAGATCAAAAAGTAAACTACAAACTAATTAAAATGACAAATAATAATAAAATACTCATAATTAAAATAATAAGAAGAATATGAATAATAATAAATAAGCAAACAAATAAATAATAAAATAATGAAAATAAGACAATAATGGTAAAACATCAGGTAAAGCAGTGTCAGGCAGAGTGGAGGGGTTTATGATCCTCGTTTTCTGGGTTTGTAATGAACATTATGTGATTTGATTACTGATTTTCATTGTCTGCATGTTCGTTTTGTGAGCTGTGCTGTTATTTTGTGCTGTTTGTGTTCATTAGTGTGCAGCAGTGGGCCAACACTTTTGGAAAACAGCTGTCCGCCTTATCGACCAGATACTCTGGATCCCTCCTGCTGCAGAAAGTAAGTGGTTACTATTATTTACTGAGCATTTATTCTTTCAGTCCTATTCCAATCAGTGGAGCAGGTCTGCGTTCACTCCAATAAGCAATATTATCAGGGGTATCAATGCCAGCGAATGGATGCTGTATTAAATTACTTTTATACCCCTACAGCCTTCATAGCCCCATCCGGTTATACACCGATCAGGCATAACATTCTGACCACCTCCTTGTTTCTACACTCATTGTCCATTTTATCAGCTCCACTTACTATATAGGTGCACTTTGTAGTGCACTTTGTGATCCACTCAGACCAGCACAACACACACTAACACACCACCACCACGTCAGTGTTACTGCAGTGCTGAGAATGATCCACCACCCAAATAGTACCTGCCCTGTGAGGGTCCATGGGGGTCCTGACCACTGAAGAACAGGGTAAAAGGGGGCTAACAAAGTATCAGAGAAACAGATGGACTACAGTCTGTAACTGTTGAACTACAAAGTGCACCTATATAGTAAGTGGAGCTGATAAAATGGACAATGAGTATAGAAACAAGGAGGTGGTCAGAATGTTATGCCTGATTGGTGTATGATATATATATATATATATATATATATATATATATATTTATATATATATATATATATATATATATATATATATATATATGTTTTGTTCCAAAATGCACTTTAGACCACTTTCAATACATTTCTTTCTTTTTATTATCATAGTTAGTTATCTTATGGTGAGCAGGCTTTGCATGTACCTGAAATATTGATATATTATGATTAATAATACCTTTATTAGAGAAATTACAGTGTGATTTCCTACATACGTCAGCTGTTATTCTTTGATAAAAACTCCAAAATTAAATCCAGAATTGTCACAAATGGATGTAAAGCATTTTGGAATGAAACTCGAGGGAGGTGTGATTATTAAAGGGCCAGAATTCCAAATCTAACGCTGATGCTCCTGGTGCTCTATAGGGAAAGTCAGGAAGCTCCTATATCTGAATATGAGCTCACTCTCATTATAATATAGTGCGTTCTGGATGAGTGTCTCTCTCTAGGGCACTAAAGACAACATGACAACCTACCAGCTTGAACCTCCATCTGTCAACCTGGAGAGAGCGAGTGAGAAAGGGTGGGGTGAAATGATGGTGGGGGGGGCAGGGTTTCGTTAAGGATCTCTGACCTAATTTTTATTTTTGTTAATAAACAAAGTATTTAAAATACAAATATGTTCCAGCCTCCTGAAATACAGCTCAACGGAAGGGAAATATAACATAACTTCAGTTCAGGAGTTGCCTGATTAAAAGTTAGCAAAAAAAAAACAATAAATTAAAAATCTAGCAAGTTTATGAACAAACTTTAAGTTGGCTTGACAGAGCCGTAGCTATGAAATCCCAGGTGGTTGCTAAGGTTTTGCTATGCCACTGAGGTTATCCCAGGTGGTTGCTAAGGTGTTGATAGGCCGCTGCTATGTTATCCCAAGTGTTGCTAAGTTTTTGCTATGCAATTGCTATGGTATCCCAGGCAGTTGCTAAGGTGTTGCTATGTTATACCAGATGGTTGCTAAGATGTTGCTAGGCCATTGCTGTGTTATCCCAGGTGGTTTCTCAGGTGTTGCTAAGTTTTTCCTATGACATTACTATGGTATCCCGTGCTAAGGAGTTGCTGTGTTACCCCAGGTGGTTGCTCAGGTGTTGCTGGGATGTTGCTATGGTATCCCAGGTGGTTGCTAAGGTTTTGGTATGCCATTGATGTTATCCCAGGTGGTTGCTAAGGTGTTGTTAGGCTTCTGCTATGATATCCCAGGTGTTGCTAAGTTTTTGCTATGCAATTGCTATGGTATCCCAGGCGGTTGCTAAGGTGTTGCTATGTTATACCAGATGGTTGCTAAGATGTTGCTAGGCCATTGCTGTGTTATCCCAGGTGGTTGCTAATGTGTTGTTAGGATGTTTCCATGGTATCCCAGGTGGTTTCTAAGGTTTTGCTATGTCACTGATGTTATCCCAGGTGGTTGCTAAGGTGTTGTTAGGCTGCTACTATGACATCCCAGGTGTTTTTGCTATGCAGTGGCTATGGCCTCCCAGGTGGTTGCTACAGTGTTGCTATGTTCTCCCAGATGGTTGCTAAGATGTTGCTAGGATATTGCTATGTTATCCCAGGTGGCTGCTCAGGTGTTGCTAGGCCATTTCTGTGGAATCCCAGGTGGTTTCTAAGGTGTTGCTGGGACATTGCTAATATCTGTGTATGTAAGTGTGCTAGTATGTATGTGAGTATATATGTAATGTCTATGAGTGGCAGTGTGATGCTGCGTTCACATGTTTGCATTGAAAAAAAAGTCATTCTGCACCTCAAAGCCGTATGCGACCGAATTTTCCATCATGGCTCAGTTGAAAACAATGGAATATCAGGTTTGCTGTCGTCGGTCTATGCAAGATGACCAACTAGACACGCTCCTCACTGAACTGGAGCTCCGTATAAGAACCATTCATTCCATTATAACTGTAGTTCAGTGTGGAGAGAGGATGCACGACTCTACTGGAGTCATTTCATCAGCATCCAACTCTCCTTTTATAACAGTTCAAAGGCCAAAGGAGCAACATTCTCATAGTCCAACAAATCCTGGTGTTCAGATGAGATATCCTGCCTTTTTGTCCTACCATAGCACTTATTTATAGGTAGTGCTAAGGTGCGACATACGAGGGGGTCCTGGGGATCTGGGAGCCCTTAGTTAACCTCTTATGCTCCCTGAATGTCTCAAAATCAAAATTCTGTTAATTGAAAATAAACCTGTTATGACGTTATGTTGACTGTGGATAAACAGGCACTTAAATCCAGATTCAGTGAAGTTCACTGTTTATCTGCTTCACCCAGTCAGCTTCCGTCTCTGGTGTTCTTAACTAACTAGAGCTGCAGCACTGCTCTGCCTCAGGGTGGCGCTGTAGCAGACTGGCTCACCCAGTTGGTCCTTCATAGCCTGGAGACCTGGATTTCTCTGAAAAACTGTATGGTGTGCTGTTGCATATTTGTAAATCTGAAAACTCGCCAAAGTTTGGAGTGAAGAGTGACTGTTCCTCATTCCTCGAGCCAAATATGAAAGAGATGTGAACAGTTAATATGTGGAATTAGAAAAGAGCATCTCCATAAAAAGAACTGCAAACTAAACATTTTGCTGCCATTGAAGTTTCAGTGCTGCCACCACCACCAACACTGGAATGGCCAGCCTAAATGCCCCCCCCCCCCGAATTCCAGGGGGTATTTCGCACACTGGGTAGCACTCATGAATAAAACCATAGGGAGGATATTTTGATGGTCTAAAGCGGGTAATAATAACATTTAGCTGAGTCTGTATAATATTTTCGAAGTGAGACTGAATGAATATTACAAACATAATAAAACATTAGAAAATCTAATATACTACACTAACGATCTGTGCATGGGTGACAGGGCAAACTGTTAGAAGATCATGACAAATTTTTGATTCAGTTTCATCCCATATGGAAAAAATATATGGACATGTATTTTTATATATTTAAAACACATTGCAGTTCACACTGAAATACATTCCAAACACTAAAATGCATTTCAGAATATTTTGCCATATCAACCAAATTTATTTTAAAATACATTTCATTTATTTTAAAATGTATGGGGAAATATTACACATAGACAGCCAGAATCCTGTCTGATGCTCTTCACTGTCTGATACCTTTAGAAATGAATTTGTGTTCCAGTCTCTTCATTTTAAATCTGATCTAATGATCCTTTAACAGGACAGAAGCGAGTGTTGTGGGTATTGATACTCTGTGAAAATGCAGTTATGATCTGATATCTTGTTTGTGTGAAATACATTGTGTGTGAGAGTCTGACTGCAGACGTACATGGTTAATGTAAAGTACAGTGCAGATCACAGGCGTCAGTACGTTTAGTTACATCTGGAACCTTCATTACACTCAACTGAACACAGATAATAACTAATACTAATAAATACATTTTAAAAATATATTTAACAAATGCATTATTTAGTCATTTTCATACACTGCAAAAATATATTTGGTAAATGTATTTAGAATGTATTTCTGTTCCGTATGGGATAGGAATGTGAGTTTTCCCCCCTCTCCCCTCTCTACCTGATCTCCCCTCTCTCTCTCTCTTTCTCTCTCTCCTGCTACTCTAATGCTTTGTGTTGAAGTGGATTATCCCAGGCCAATCTCTCAGCTCATTTGTGATCCACCACAATTGTTTGTGTGGAGAAAAAAGAACCTCAGCAACAGACGGCATGAGGGAGGCATACGGGAAAGAACGCAGCCTCACTGAGAGAGACCCTGCGTTCACAGAGCATCTTAAAACCTTTTAAACGTAACAAACCCTGACCGTAACGTAACATAACAAAACCCAAAAGCCGATATATTTTGTCCTACATACATTTTTCCACAGAATGTCACCAGATCCTCCGATTTACAGGGGTGTTAAGTGAAATCAAGTTAATTTTTCAAAATTTGCTGCATAATTGAGTGTTTGAGATGTAAACAGAGTCATTCAGAGTGGTTTGGTGTGAAATGGTTCAGATGTCTTTACAGTGGTGGTGATAGGAACCAGGGGTCGCCATGACTACAACACAAATATAGACATTTTATTTACTATCCAGAACCACCAGTGAACCTACACGAGTCTTCTGAGTTTATATGGAATGTTGATGATGGAAAATAGTGGAAAATCTGAAATAATAAGTTTTCTTTGGGGACTATTTTGCCTCACAGCGCCCTGCATGTATCCCTCCACCATGAATGGACTTTAAATTCTCTAAACTATCATAAAACAGTGTCTCAGTCATCAGGCAGTGAATTCATAACCATTTCATGTAGGAACTTTCTGTGAGGGAGCTTTTAGAGGTGGACGTCTGGTTCCTTTCACCACCACTGTGAACAGATCTTTGAATAGAGCGTTTCACACCAAACCACTCTGAATAGACCTAATTTATTTCAACATTAATTTGTTTAGTTAACACATACGAAAGCCAGTTCTACGTTTTTTGAGTGTCTAATAGCCCACTGGCATTATCGCCCATGAAAATTACATTTTCCCAGGGCAATTTTCACATTTTCACATTTTCAAGAGCACACAGGCTTCAGGTCATTATCAGGTGGTCAGCAACACAGCTGCAGGGACGAGAAGCGCTCAACGGTGGTGAAGTTGGAACAAAGTAATCAAAGCACCGCTGATTTTCTGGCCAGATGCGTAGAGCATCTCCACCAGCAATAAACAGTCGACTGATAAGAGCTCCATCTGTTTCATTATCAGCTGAGGCGCAGAGCAAACACCACTGACACCGACCCGCCGCTTCCAACGTCACGCCTGCCTAAGAAAACATTTATAGACCCCATATATGCACATAACCAGCAAACACTGGCACTGCTGGTTTGGGCTCCTTGGGCCTCTGATAAGAAACGTCCACCACCATATTGACAGAGCAGTATTATAAACCTTATACACTGATCAGGCATGACATTCTGACCACCTCCTTGTTTCTACGCTCATTGTCCATTTTATCAGCTCCACTTACTATATAGGAGCACTTTGTAGTTCTACAGTTACAGACTGTAGTCCATCTGTTTCTCTGATACTTTGTTAGCCCCCTTTTACCCTGTTCTTCAGTGGTCAGGACCCCCATGGACCCTCACAGAGCAGGCACTATTTGGGTGGTGGATCATTCTCAGCACTGCAGTAACACTGACGTGGTGGTGGTGTGTTAGTGTGTGTTGTGCTGGTGCGAGTGGATCAGATACTGGAGTGCTGCTGGAGTTTTTAAACACTGTGTCCACTCACTGTCCACTCTATTAGACACTCCTACCTTGTCGGTCCACCTTGTAGATGTAAAGTCAGAGACGATAGCTCCTCTGCTGCTGCAGTGTGTACTGGTCATCCTCTAGTCCTTCATCAGTGGTCACAGGACGCTGCCCACAGGACGCTGTCAGCTGGATATTTTTGGTTGGTGGACTATTCTCAGTCCAGCAGTGACACTGAGGTGTTTAAAAACTCCAGCAGCACTGCTGTGTCTGATCCACTCGTACCAGCACAACACACACTAACACACCACCACCATGTGAGTGTTACTGCAGTGCTGAGAATGACCCACCACCCAAATAGTACCTGCTCTGTGAGGGTCCATGGGGGTCTTGACCACTGAAGAACAGGGTAAAAGGGGGCTAACAAAGTATGCAGAGAAACAGATGGACTACAGTCTGTAACTGTAGAACTACAAAGTGCACCTATATAGTAAGTGGAGCTGATAAAATGGACAATGAGCGTAGAAACAAGGAGGTGGTCATAATGTTATGCCTGGTCGGTGTAATAACATAACATAGCACTAATCACATTACACAGCAGTACGTTCCTTCAACCAGAACTCTAATAATCAGAGTAACAGACTTCAGACTTTACAGGATTGTAGTATAATGTAGTATAATGTGCCGCTTCTCCAACCTCACATCACTTTTTACTGCAGTCTTCCGAAATCTACAGATAATTATGTTCAATATCTGATCTTTGAAGCACTATAGATCGAGCCGAACTCCACAGGTCAGTAGAGCGTGATGTGTCCCTTCCAATGAGCCCTGGATCGCATTGCTAGCCTTCAGCGAACTGAAGATAAGGACCAAAATCACCAGGCTATGTAACTGTACGTTTGCACTCATATGTGCAATGTTGAGCTCAAAATGAAAATTCAAATTCAATAGTACGATTTTAGTTTTTAGATTTTAGTTTGGTGTACTAGTATAATGAAGATTTAGATGATTTATGAGTAGCTTTATTTAAATTAAAATGTATTCTATTTATGCTTCATGTGATTATGCAATAATTGTGTCATTTAATATTAGTGTACGCAAGTAAGAAATGTGTTAGAAATAAGCTTAAAACAATCTGAACAAGAGAAACGTTGGATTTATTGACTATATTTAAGATATTACTTGATGCTACACTGTAAAACGTGTCTCGTCAGATCTACCTAGAAAATGACTTCATGTGGTCACGAGCAACTGAATTAGTTTTATTCAACTTAAACTTGAAACTACATTGATTGGAAGAATCAAAGTATTATTTAGGTTGAATAAACGAGACACGTTTTACAGTGTATTTTTTGCAGTGCATTTGGTCTCGTTTTAATGTCTGCTAAGAGGAATGAGGTGAGGGAGCCATGCGTGAAGTTTTCAGGGGGCCCAAAATTCATACCAGTGCCCCCTACTGACAGTGCAGCTATTGACTGTTTGTGTTTGTTTGTGTGAGCAGAAATTTAAGGACATTGAGCCCATAGTGAAGATCGAGGAGGTGAACGGCATGGAGCTGGTGAAGAAGTTCGCTGAAGAGATGGAGAACATGCTCGGCAGGAAGATGAAGTCTGTGAAAGTAAGAAAGCTCATGCGGTCTGATGTGTGTGCTGGACTGTACATGCTGGAGCTGCACAATATTGATTATTGATCATTACTGGCCTTTGCAATACTGAGGCAACAAGGCAGTTTCTGAGGGTGCTTTGAAGAACAAAGGCCTTTATGTGATCCAACAAACATAAATAATGTTGACGAGGACCACAATGCAAATTAGCTCTAGGGATAATTTTAAATAAATTCAATTTAGTTCAATTCGATGCATGGTAAGCTTTAATGACATCATCAGATGTCAATAATAATAATAACTTTATTGATAGAGCACTTTTTATACCAGTGGCAGCTCAAAGTGCTTTACAGACAGATGATAAAGCTTAACAGTGCACCCTTAAAAAAAGATGGTTCTTTAAGGGTTCTTTAGTAAAGGCAGTGGTTCTTAATAGAACCATGAACACTCAAAGAACCATTTTTATGTTTAAATGTTTCTTTGCATGGTGAAATTGTTCTTCAGATTGATGGAGAAGGTGTTTTATCATGGTTCTTTATAGAACATTTTGGAAATTGTTCTGTATAGCACCAAAAAGCGTTCTATTGTTACATGTCGGACTATAACTAGAACCATATGCAACACATTCTCCATCAATCTGAATAACCATTTCATTTAACCATGCACATGGTTATTTGAGTGTTCATGGTTCTATATACAACCATTGTCTTCACTAAAGAACCTTAGAACAACCATCTTTTATAAGAATGTAACAAAAGAAATTCTGTGTATTAATTTAAAATCATAAGATCAGATTAAACAGATAAACAGAGTAGAGTTTTACTGAAGCGCTGAGTTAAAGAGCTGCGTTTTCAGATGTTTATTAAAAGTGAGCTCTGAGCTCGACTGTCTAATAAAAGCTGAACTGAGCTCCACAGTTTAGAAGCAGAATAACTGAAAGAGTCTCTCAACGTTTTCTGTGTTTTACTGAAGGTGTTCAGAATCTGCAGATCTGAGATCATAAACAGACGTTCAGGAGCTTTAAGGTCATTTAGAGCTTTAAAAACCAGCAGCAGAGCTTTAAACTCTCTCTAACAGATCCAGGCGGTCAGTGCAGGGTGTAACGGGGTGATATGAGCTCTCTGTGTTGGTGTTGTGAGGATCCGTGCTGCGGTGTTCTGTATGGGTTCTAGAGGATGATACTGTTTTCTCCAGTAAGAAGATCATTAAGATCAAACCCTTATAAAGACAATATGAAGTGTAAACCAGATCTATGAGTTATACTGCAAAAGCAAGTAAAAACATCTTAAATGTAGTTATATCTAAAAATATATAGATATATAAATATATCTAATATTTCTCTTTATGAGACTGTTGTAAGAACATTGTGAAGTTATTGAACTTTTTTCTACACATTTTTCCTTGTTTTAAGTAATTTTATCTTATGAAAGTGTCTTATTTCATTGGCAGATCATTTTACTTGTTTTAAGCATCATTTACTGAAATAAGCAAAGTTATCTTCGATATTTTTCAAAACAAGTAAAACAGAATAAGAAACTTTCACTACATAAAATTACTTAAAACAAGTAAAAATGTACATAAACAGGTGGAATTATCTTATTTACTCTTTCAGCAACCTCATAATGAGAAATATTAGATATATTAACTACATTTAAGATGGTTTCACTTCTAAGATTTAAACTGTGTGGTTGTGTTCCAGAGAATGGCTGAAGCTGCAGAAGATGCTGATTTCTATCATGAGTACAATGCCACACTAGAGGTGAGCTCAGCTGCCCATCATTCATCCACATTCATCCAGCCATCGATGCATCACCCGCACGGCATAACGCACCATAATAGACTACGATTGATCACTGTTCACCCAGAAACGGCACAGCAGAGTAGCTCTCAGCCTCGTCCACAGTAATACGTTATATATGACGCTGCGAAAAAGATTGATTGTAAGATTCAGTGTTGTGATTTTTCAGTTCGACTATTATAACTCCATGATGATAAACACTGTGGATGAGGATGGGAACTATGCGGAGTTGGGTGGAGAGTTTGCACTGGAGGAAAACGAGCACTTCAACAACCTGCCTGTCAACACACAGCAGAGCGTCATCCAAGTGCCCACCAACGTCTACAACAAAGGTACTACACACCTTACCTGCTGGGTTTACTCACATATTCGGTTGTTTCGTAGTATTCATTCACTGGAGGGGACATGCACCACGGCATTCGTTCACTGGAGGGGACATGCACCACTGCATTCGTTCACTGGAGGGGACATGCACCACTGCATTCATTCACTGGAGGGGACATATACCACCGCATTCATTCACTAGAGGGAACATGCACTACTGCATTCATTCACTGGAGGGGACATGCACTACTGCATTCATTCACTGGAGGGGACATGCACCGCGCATTCATTCACTGAAGGGGACATGCACCACTGCATTCATTCACTGGAGGGGACATGCACCACTGCATTCGTTCACTGGAGGGGACATGTACCACTGCATTCGTTCACTGGAGGGGACATGCACCACTGCATACATTCACTGGAGGGGACATATACCACCGCATTCATTCACTAGAGGGAACATGCACTACTGCATTTATTCACTGGAGGGGACATGCACCACCGCATTCGTTCACTAGAGGGGACATGCACCACTGCATTCATTCACTGGAGGGGACATGCACCACCGCATTCATTCACTAGAGGGAACATGCACCACTGCATTCGTTCACTGGAGGGGACATGCACCACTGCATTCATTCACTGGATGGGACATGCACCACCGCATTCATTCACTAGAGGGAACATGCACCACTGCAATCGTTCACTGGAGGGGAAATGCACCACCGCATTCATTCACTAGAGGGAACATGCACCACTGCAATCGTTCACTGGAGGGGACATGCACCACTGCATTCGTTCACTGGAGGGGACATGCACCACTGCATTGTCAACCGCGTAGTATTTATGCAATTTACTTCTTATTTTTGTACTGCAGATAATTTTTTATTGTTTTTAGTATAATTTTATTTTATTCTATTTTTTATCTTTATTTTCTCTGTGTGCATCTGTAAATAGTGTAAGATGAATAGTGTAAATAGTGCATCTATTATAGCAGAAAATACAACATAATAGGGTCTGAATGTTAAAGGAGAATTCCACCAATTTTTCAAAATCTCTACACAATTAAAACTTTGGGATGTAATCAGAGAGATTCAGAGTGGTTTGGTGTGAAATGGTTCAGATGTCTTTACAGTGGTGGTGATAGGAACCAGGGGTCGCCATGACTACAACACAGATATTGACATTTTATTTACTATCCAGAACCACCAGTGAACCTAGAAGAGATGAACGAATCCAGAGAGAATGACCTCAGACCCCAGAAGGTCAAAAGCTGTTAGACTAAAGTAGAGTAAATTCCCCATAAATGTTCAACTATTATGATTTTCCCAGGCCTACTGTAGATCTTCTTTTTCAAGATGACACAAAGGTTTGATGATCTCCGTCTTCATCCAGATCCAGATATTCTGAACGGTGTGTACATGTCAGAGGCTCTGAATGAAGTGTTTGTGAGCAACTTTGACAAGGACCCCACTCTGACCTGGCAGTACTTCGGCAGCTCCACTGGCTTCTTCAGGCTGTATCCTGGTAACGTTAACTCACGCCGACATGCGACAACACCAAGGCTGGCTTTAGAAGGCGAAACCTCCATGCAACCTGCTTGAAACATAGATGAAACTAAATTTCTGTAATCAGCTGGCTCAACTAGCCGAGCTAACAGCAACATCTATTTAAACTGCTGCTTGAGCCGCCAGCGTTTATTCCTCTTTGTCCTGCTGTAATCATGATCTAAATGGTTAGATTATTCGGTTTCTCCTCTCTTGATGACTCTGATTTCACCCAGAGGTTTGAAATGATTAAAATTCTTACAGAAGAGCAGACTGAGATGCGCTGCTTAATAAATTTGCAGTGCTTCTACAGAACAAGCGAGACATCAAGTGCAATAGTAATGGATCTTTAGTCATTGATTTCCAAAGCCTTAACAAATACAGAACAGATTTAAAAGACTTTTTAAAATATAGATATAGAAGGAACGTCAGTGACAACTGGAAAAATTTGTGTTACACTAAGGCTATGAAAATGACCCCTCGCAGAGTGAGAACAATAAGTTGTAGCAAAAAATACAAGTTACTAATTTGGCTAACCAGTGGAGTAACTGAATGCGTTACATGCAACTTTCGTTGTTTTTGAATTGCTTCGTGTAACTGTCAAGTTGCATGGAAATTATGTTGCATGCAATTCACAACATGCAACTAGTTGCATGAAAGTTTCACCATGTAAAGCCAGACTAACACCCTGAATATAAAAGTGGCGTTTATTTGAGTTATTTCAGTGGCTTTTGTTTTTGTTTAAGATTTTGTGCAGTTTTATTCAAAATGGGATTTAATCATATTAATTTGATCAATGAAAATAAGAGAGTAAACAGCTGCTGGTAAACACTGTCGCCTCATTTTAGTCCTTATTCCTCTGTAAACAGCATCAGGTCCAATCTGTGGTTTACACTAAACAACACTCTTAAAAAATACGGTTCTTCAAATGTTCTATAGTAAAGACAATGGTTGTATATATAATCATGGGTTCTATATAAAACCATTTGCATGCTTAAATGGTTCCTTGCATGGTGAAATAGTTCTTCAGATTGATGGAGAATGTGTTGTGTATGGTTCTATATACCACCAACAATGGTGTATAAATAGCAGAACCCTTTCTGATGCTATATAGAACCACATACAACACATTCTCCATCAATCTGAAGAACAATTTCACCATGCAAAGAACATTTTAAGCATGTGATGGTTCTATGTAGAACTTACTGTTCTAAACAGAACCATTGCCTACTAAAGAACCCTTGAAGAACCATCTTTTTAAGTGTGCGCTGTATCTTATTAACCCTTAGAGGTCAAGTTATAATCATCATTTTGTTAAACCACTTAAACTAACTCGGCCGGTTTGCTTTGTAGTTTATGTAATTACTGAATAATAAGCCTCAGTAATTAGACTAGAATTTTAAGGGGTTAATTACATACTTATTTGCATAAAGAATTATAGTCTGACCTTCTCTGTTTGTTTTAATGTTAACAAAAACAAAAACAAGGCAAAATTTTTTTTTTCTTGCAGCAAAACAAGATTGTGCACAAAATATCTTGTCCTTTACGTATGAACACTAACGTAGTGTTGATTGGACGTTTAGAATCTGCACCTTCCACAGAAGTTCTCCACTTTCTTTAGATAAACAATATTCATGTGCTGCAAAAAAAATGATATCTTAGCAAGTAAAAGCATATTCAGTGTGGGTAATATATCTAATATTTCTCATTATGAAATTGTTGTAAGACTATTATAAGATTGTTTCATTTATTTTTAGACATTTTTACTTGTTTTAAGTAATTTTATCTGACGAAAGTATTTTATTCCATTGTCAGATCGTTTTATTGTTTCAAGCATTATTTCTTGAAATAAACAAAATTATCTTCATTATTTCTCAATACAAGTAAAATGATCTGCCAATGAAATGACACTTTCACTACACTAAAAAGATGGTTCTTCAAGGGTTCTATACAGAACCATGAATACTCAAAGAACTCTTTTCCTGCTTAAATGGTTCCTTGCATGGTGAAATGGTTCTTCAGATTGATGAAGAATGTGTTGTAATGTGTGTGTTTACAATGTCTAGAGGATGGTTCTAATAAGTCTAGTCAACCTTAAGCCTTTCATCAATTTCATCAGCAGAACCTGGTTTAGTTTAATGAAGGACTGATTAGATAAACCAGGTACTGGATGATAAAATAACACTGAAACATTAATAATGGATGGAATAAGACACTTTTATAAGATACAATTACTTAAAACAAGTAAAATGTCTAGAAACATGTGAAATAATCGTATTTAACAGTCTCATAAAGAGAAATATTAGATACATTAACTACATTTAAGATGTTTAACTTGGCCCAATGCACCACAGCTGAGGCAGGACCCTCAGGTTGAGCCCCTAACACACTCAGAGAGCAGCGTGCAGGTCAGAAGTGCTCGATCAGGATCTGCTGAGGCCGTCTGAGTCTCTGAAATTGAGTTGCTGTCGTTAGTGCAGGGCTGACAGGTGATGTCAGAGAAGTAATTAGTGTGTGTTAATGACTCAGCTCTCTCCCTCTCTCTCTCTCTCTCTCTCTCTCTTTCTCTCTCTCTCTGTGTGTGAGTCTCTCTCTCTGTCTCTCTCCCTCTCTCTCTCTGTGTCTCTCTCTGTGTCTCTCTCTGTCTCTCTCTCTCTCTCTCTCTCTCTCTCTCTCTCTCTCTCTCTCTCTCATTACCTCATCACTCCACTCTCACAGTCAGCAGGCAGCATGTTTCTCCAGCACATTAGAAAACAAATGCAGACCTAAGGGTTCTTCTGGGGTTCTTTAGTAAAGAAAATGGTTCTATATGGAAGAAATGGTTCTACTAAAATCTTATGGTTCTAAATAGAACCGTTCCCTTCACTAAATAACCCTTAAAGAGCCATCTTTTTTAAGTGTGTACATACACAGTGTTCAGTGAGATGAGGTGAAAATCTGTTTTTGGGCCAATGACACATAAAATGTTCAAAATGATAGCTGTTAAAAATCATTTTTATGTGCATTTTTATATCTGCATATATATATATATATATATATATATATATATATATATATATATATATATATATTTGCATTTATATCTCTGTGCATTTCATATCATAAAAATAGTGAGTATAATCAAAGCTTTAATTGCCTGTTATTAAACTGTGCTGCTCTGGTTGCTCCATCTGACTGACTGGTTGCACCACCTGACTTTTCAGACTAATTTCAAATTAAACAGGCATCTATTTAGACACCTATAGAAACCTTTGTCCTTCAGCTTGAGTTTATACTTACATTTTTTTTCAAAATAAATGAACATTATTATAATAATTCCACATCTTCATGGTGCTCCTGAGGTCAGACCACCTGACATGGTAAACTGAACTACAACATGATTTTTTTTTTTTTAGTTAACATAAAATCCAGTTTTATAACTAATTTACCTTTTATGATATTTTACAAAGTCAACATATACGGTTGGATGGTTGCACCACCTGACATTTGTAGGCTTTTGGAGGCAGAAAGAGACTAAAATGAATTTTATATGGTTGCACTGAAAATTGTTACCCATAAAAGAGGCATTGTTGAATAATAGGATAAATGTCATGTGTTTATTAAATTATTTTTTGGAAACATAATGGCAAAAAATGTACATCATCACCGACCCAAAGATTAACCCCTTTAAATCCTAGGCTTATTACATACTAAGCCTTATTATTCAGTAACTACAGGGGCTTCAGTGCAGACTGGCTGAGCTATTCTTAGTTTATAGAAGTGTGTAATAAAACTTTGGCTATTTAACATGCAAAATGCAGTGGCTGTCAACAGTTGTCAAGTGTTGTACGGCTGATATACGGCTGTATGGAGCTCAGTGAAGGTCACTGTGTGTTACATTCTTCAGGCATTCAGTGGACACCAGATGAAAACGGCGTCGTCACCTTTGACGCAAGGAACCGCAACTGGTGAGTCTTTTTTGTGTGTGTTTATATCATCCATTATATAGCTTTTAAATGTTGATTACCTTTTTATTTTTATTTAGTTTTTCATTTTGATTTTTAATTTCATTTTAGTTTCAGGTAGTTTTGAGTCATTCATTCATTTTAGTAAGGGGTAAGGGGTTTTCAGGACTATAATAAGGCTGTAATAGCAGGTATTTTGAAGAGTAGAATTTAATTAAAACAGCAGTAGACTAAGCTCGGCTCCTTACAGACCAAACTCTCATTCACACACTGAAAAAAACTAAAATGAAAGGATTTTTTCTCAGTAATTCTATATTTTTTAGTAAGTTTTGCAGTGGAAATTATAGTTTTGATTTAGTTTTCGTAAACCAGGTGCTGCTGATGGAGCTCAGTAAGTCTTTGCGGTGGCTGGAGTGCAGGAAGCAAACCTGTTTACTCCTGACAAGCTCAAAATAAATCAGATACTTTCACTGTGTAAATGTTTGATTTATTGTTTATTCTAATGTTACATGGTGTTTACACTTGATGCTGAGATAAATAGATTTTAAACGTATGAAAACAAACGTGTGTGTGTGTGTGTGTGTGTGTGTGTGTGTGTGCACGCAGGCATAATTCACATAAAACCACCAAATCTCTAACAATCAAATGAAAGTATGGGTTGGAGATTATATAAATCCTCTGAGATTAGCTTTGCAGACTCACCATGAGGTGAAATTACAGCCGGCCTGATACCAAAACTGTACTTGCGGTTTCCACTCTAAGGCCATGAGACATTTTAATGATTACACTGCAAACAGATGATATCTTAGCAAATAAAAACATCTTAAATGTAGTTAATATATCTAATATTTCTCATTGTGAGACTGTTGTAAGAATATTATAAGATTATTCCTCCTGTTTCTACACATTTTTACTTGTTTTAAATTAAATTTTATCTACACTTTTAAAAGAGATTGTTCTTCAGCGGTTCTTTAGTAAAGACAATGGTTCTATACAGAAACACGAACACTCAAAGAACTATTTGCATTCTTAAATGGTTATTTGTGTAGTGAAATGGTTCTTCAGATTGAAATATATAAATATATATACACCGATCAGGCATAACATTATGACCACCTCGTTGTGCACCTCCAGTATACAACCTGTGCAGCAGCAGATGAGCTATCGTCTCTGGCTACAAGGTGGACTGACAAGGTAGGAGTGTCTAATAGAGTGGACAGTGAGTGGACACAGTGTTTAAAAACTCCAGCAGCACTGCTGTGTCTGATCCACTCGTACCAGCACAACACACACTAACACACCACCACCATGTGAGTGTTACTGCAGTGCTGAGAATGACCCACCACCCAAATAGTACCTGCTCTGTGAGGGTCCATGGGGGTCCTGACCACTGAAGAACAGGGTAAAAGGGGGCTAACAAAGTATCAGAGAAATAGATGGACTACAGTCTGTAACTGTAGAACTACAAAGTGCACCTATATAGTAAGTGGATCTGATAAAATGGACAATGAGCGTAGAAACAAGGACATAACGTTATGCCTGATTGGTGTATATACAAGCTTGACATCATAACAATAGCAGAACCCTTTTTAATGCTACACTATAAGAACAAAAGTATTGGGACACCTAGGTGGATAGCCATGCAGTCTCGATAGACAAACACTGGCAGTAGAGGGTTGGACTGATGAGCTCTGTGACTTTAAAAATGTCGCTGTCATAGGATGCCACCTCTGCTACAAGTCAGTGTGTGAAATTTCTGCCCTGCTAGATCTGCCCCAGACAACTGTAAGTGCTATTATTGTGAAATGGAAGTGTCTAGAAGCAACAACAGCTCAGCCACGAAGCGTCAGACCACACAAACTCACAGAGTGGAGCCGTCGAGTGCTGAACTGCACAGTGTCTATCCTCTGTTGAATCACTAAAGAGTTCCAAACTGTCTCTGGAAGCAACATCAGCAAAAGAACTGAGCATTAGGAGCTTCACGAAATACGTTTCCATGGCCGAACAGCTGCACACAAGCCTAAGATCAAAATGCGCCATGCCAAGCGTCGGCTGGAGTGGTGTAAAGCGCCACCACTGGACTCTGGAGCAGTGGAAACGTATTCTGTGTAGTGACGAATCAGCTTCTCTGTCTGTCAGTCTGATGGACGAGTCTGGCTTTGGAGAACGTTACCTGCCTGACTGCACTGTGCCAGCTGTAAAGTTTGGTGGAGGAGGGATGATGATATGGGGCTGTTTTTCAGGGGTTGGTCTAGAACCCTTAGTTCCAGTGAAGGGAAATTTTAATGCTTCAGCACCAAGACATTTTGGACAATTGCCGCTTCCAACTTTGTGGGAACAGTTTGGGGAAGAACCTTTTCTGTTCCAGCATGACTGAGCCCCAGTGCACAAAGCAGCTCCATAAAGGCCTGACTGAGTGAGTTTGGTGTGGGATAACTTAACTGGCCCTCACAGAGCCCTGACCTCAACCCCATCAAACACTTTTGGGATGCACTAGAACGGAGATTGTGAGCCAAGCCCACTCGTCCAACATCCACAGAATGTGTTTGCTCATATTTTCACACTTGTCAGGTTAAATTTTAGTTTAGTTAAAGTTTTTGCTGCTGAAGTTTTAAGTCTTCTAGCACTCAGATGCTACCAGGCAACCTGAGCTGAAAGTTTGACAGACAGAGGAACAGTACCTTGGATATCTTGCCAAGATATCATTTCTGCAGTGATTGGTGAGATGTCCAGGGCTCAGGAGACAGGAGTCAGGACGAGGACACCGTGAGGAACAGCAGCGGCAGCAGCAGGCCTGAAGACTTTAATCTTTAGCCTCTTCCGTGACTGAGTCACTCATTAGCCTCCTCCACTCTGCCAAGGCCCTTCAGACGCCTTCTGGCTCAGATAATGCTGTTAAATCTAATACTCACGATCTCTCAGCTCTAACGGGTGAAAACGCACCGCTAGAACTCTTCAGAGCTGCGTGTGAAGCAGGAACGTGTGTGTTTGTTGTGAATGAACGAGCCGTTAGAATAATAAATGTTTGTGTGTTTATGTGTGGGTGTTTATGTGTTTGTGTGTGTGTCCAGTGCTCCAGCCCAGTCCACTCCGTCTCTCATCCTCTTATTGTGATCCAGACATGTCAGTGACCCTCTGACCCCGAGCGCATTACATTCTCCGCTCATAGCTTTTCTCTGATGAGATTCCACTTGCTTTGATCCCTGCAGGCATTATGAGTCCTTACCACCGCAGTGAAAGGTTAATGTCTGGGTTTGGGAGGAAAACAATCGATTCTGGGCTGCCTTTACACCACACACTTAAAAAAGAGGGTTCTTCAAGGGTTCCTTAGTAAAGAAGATGGTTCTGTATAGAACCATGAGCACTCAAAGAACCCTTTGAATGATTAAAGGGTTCATTGCATTGTAAAAGTGATCATATTGATGGAGAATGTGCTGTAGATGGTTCTACACTCTTAAAAAAGAGGGTTCTTGAAGGGTTCTTTAGTAAAGAAGATGGTTCTGTATAGAACCATGAGCACTCAAAGAACCCTTTGAATGATTAAAGGGTTCATTGCATTGTAAAAGTGATCTTGATATTGATGGAGAATGTGCTGTAGATGGTTCTACACTCCTAAAAAGATGGTTCTTGAAGGGTTCTTTAGTAAAGAAGATGGTTCTGTATAGAACCGTGAGCACTCAAAGAACCCTTTGAATGATTAAAGGGTTCATTGCATTGTAAAAGTGATCATATTGATGGAGAATGTGCTGTAGATGGTTCTACACTCTTAAAAAAGAGGGTTCTTGGAGGGTTCTTTAGTAAAGAAGATGGTTCTGTATAGAACCATGAGCACTCAAAGAACCCTTTGAATGATTAAAGGGTTCATTGCATTGTAAAAGTGATCTTGATATTGATGGAGAATGTGCTGTAGATGGTTCTACACTCCTAAAAAGATGGTTCTTGAAGGGTTCTTTAGTAAAGAAGATGGTTCTGTATAGAACCATGAGCACTCAAAGAACCCTTTGAATGATTAAAGTGTTCATTGCATTGTAAAAGTGATCTTCATATTGATGGAGAATGTGCTGTAGATGGTTCTACACTCCTAAAAAGATGTTTCTTGAAGCGTTCTTTAGTAAAGAAGATGGTTCTGTATAGAACCATGAGCACTCAAAGAATCCTTTGAATGATTAAAGGGTTCTTTGCATCATAAAAGGGTTCTTCCGAAAGATAGAGAACTGTAAATAGTCCTATTAAGATCGTTCTATAAAGCACCCAAAAGGGTTCTTCTGTTGTTACGGTGTCAAGCTTATAACGATCTGATTAACTCTTTCACGATGCAAAGAACCCTTCAATCATGCAAAGGGTTCTTTGAGTGTTCATGGTTTTATATAGAACCATTTTCCTTACCAAAGAACCCCTGAAGCACCATCTTGTCAAGTTAAATATTAGTAAACGTGTTTTAAATTTTAGATTGTGCTGCTTAGTAAAGGAGATGGTTGTGTATAGAACCATCAACACTCAAAGACCCCTCTACATGAATTAAAGGGTTCTTTAAATCATCAAAGTGTTCTTCAGATTGATGGAGAGCTGTAGATGGTTCTAAATAGAACGTTTTTGAAAATAGGTCTATATGGCAACCAAAAGGTTTCTTCTATTGTTATGGTCTCAAGCTTGTAACAATAGAAGAACCCTTTTGGGTGCTACCTAGAACCCTTCTCCAAAAGGTCCTATTTAGAACCATCTATAGCACATTCATGCACATTTTTTTTTCCAATTTAAAGAACCATTTCATGATGTGACGAGCCATTTAATCATGCAAAGGGTTCTTTGAGTGTTCATGGTTATAAATAGAACCCTTTTCAAAAACGTTCTACATAGAACCAGACAGTGGCACACACAGCCATTTTAACAGTCTTCCTTCCTGTTTAATTTCCTGGTCGATTGATCCGATGAAATCAATCGTTTGAAAATATTGTGTTACCGCCACTTTGATTGGCTGTTCATGGAACTTGTTGCTGAGTTTCAAGTGAGTTGCAGGACACTTTACATTAAGCAACTCAAGTGCAAATTTGTTTCATGTGCAATCTTAAAAAAGATGGTTCTTCTTGGGTTCTTTAGTAAAGACAGTAGTTCAGTGTAGAACCATGAACACTCAAAGAACCATTTGCATGCAAGTAGTTCTTTACATGGTGAAATGGTTCTTCAGATTGATGAAAATGTGTTGTATATGGCTCTATATAGCACCCAAAAGGGTTCTTCTGTTGTTACGACCTTGACTTTGTAACAGTAGAAGAACGCTTTTGGTGCTATATAAAACCATTTTAAAAAAGGCTCTATATAGAACCATATACAACATGTTCTCCAATAATCTAAAGAACGATTTCGCCAGGCAAAGAACCATTTAAGCCTTTAATGGTTCTTTGAGTGTTCATGGTTCTATACAGAACTGTTGTCTTCACCAAAGAACCCTTGAAGAACAATCTCCTTTATGAGTGCAGGGTTCATGTCAGCAAACGAAAACAAAATAATTTCTATTTATATGCTTGATTTATTTTATAGTTGTTCGAGTTTCACATATTGGGGGGAAAAATCCTAAAAATAAAATAATAAAAATAAAAAATCATAAAAATAAAAATAATAATCATAAAATCAGAAAAGAACTTTTGCATAAAGCACATTTTATGTTTAATTCTTTTCCCCCAGTGTGTTAAATTCAATAAATAAACAGTAACTGTGCAGTAAAATGTGCAGAGGTGTGTCTCTGTGGAGGATGTGTTCACCTACTTACACAGAAAATCAACACAGCATTGAATTTGACCGGGGTGCACAAACTTTTGCACACACCTGTGTTACCGTTTAAATTCTTGTGATCTCGTTACAGTGACAGACTTACTTTACTGTTACTTGCGTCACTCAAGCATCTTTCATTTCCGTCTTCACGTCTGGTCTCAGGTATATTCAGGCAGCCACGTCCCCGAAAGACATCATCATAGTGGTGGACACCAGCGGCAGCATGAAGGGCCTCAGACTGACCATAGCCAAGCACACCATCAACACCATCCTGGACACCCTGGGAGAAAACGACTTTGTCAATGTCATCACTGTGAGTACACAGTTCTGCATCAGGACTGCGATGGTGCGGCGCGTCTGCTGCGGATTTCAGATGAAGTGCAGGAGATTTAATGACTATAGAACATCAAACACACAGCATGATGTAAATAACTAACACAATTAATGATCTCTCTCTCTCTCTCTGTCTCTCTCTCTGTCTCTCTCTCTCTGTCTCTCTGTCTCTCTCTCTCTCTGTCTCTCTGTCTCTCTCTCTCTGTCTCTCTCTCTCTGTCTCTCTCTCTCTCTCTGTCTCTCTCTCACTCTCTCTGTCTCTCTCTGTCTGTCTGCCTCTCTCTCTCTCTGTCTGTCTGTCTCTCTCTCTCTCTCTCTCGCTCTCTCTGTCTCTCTCTCTCTCTGTCTCTCTCTCTCTCTGTCTCTCTCTCTCGCTGTCTCTGTCTCTCTCTCTCTCTCTCTCTCTCGCTCTCTCTCTCTCTCTGTCTCTCTCTCTCTCTCTCTCTCTGTCTCTCTCTCTCGCTGTCTCTGTCTCTCTCTCTCTCTCTCCCTCTCTCTCGGACCCTCAGTACAGTGATTATGTCCAGTATGTGGAGCCCTGTTTTAAAGGTACACTGGTGCAGGCTGATCTGGACAATCGGGAGGTAAAGTCCACTCCACTCCACAGACAGACAGACAGACAGACAGACAGATAGATAGATAGATAGATAGATAGATAGATAGTCAGACAGACAGACAGACAGACATATCTTTGTTTGAACTTTGGATCCAACAAACATCAACAAACCAATAATACCCAGTTAATCAATCTGGCAAAGATCAATTAGAACCTCACTACTGCTTCCAAACAGTACGCTGCACTATGACTGTGATATGATAATAATGAATAATACTTTTAGGCTATATATTATAATAATGTTATATTTACACAATATATCATGAAATATGATATTATGTGTTCATATGAAAACTCATTTGGGACCTGGACTTCAGACTAAAATCCTTTTGCTTTGATTGACTCTAAACCTCTATATTATTTCTACAAAGGCTAAAAATTCCATTTTGTCTCTACCAAAACAATCATAACTCTACCAAACCTCACCAAATGTTTCAGTAGTGACTGTTTCGGTGGTGACAATTTTAGCTCATTTTGAGCTCAAAAACTCCATGGCCATGAGGGACAGGGATGCAGCCTTACTTCCTGCTCAAAAATGCAGGGGCGTGGCTAAAATAAGGCCCCGCCTACAGACTAAAACTCTGTGTTTTGGTAGTAACAAGCATTTTTTGAGGAAACTCGTGATAAATCTAAATCTTTCAACTTTAAAATACATCAAAATCCTTTATAAAGAATTTTTAGAAGTGTAAATTTAGGGGTTTGGGTTTGAGACAGACTCCTCCCAATAGAAAGTACGATATAAATGATGAGTTTATATGTATTTAGCTTATTACGCTGCAAAAAATGGCATCTTGTCAAGTAAATTTATCTTAAATATGGTCAATGAATCTAACATTTCTCCTGTTGAGATTGTTGTAAGCTTAATTTAAGATTTTTACCTTATTTCTAGACATTTTTATTTGTTTTAAGTAATTATGTTAAGTTAAATTATTTCACTATATTGGCAGATAATTTTGCTTGTTGTAAGAAATGAGCTATTATATATTATATATATATAGAGAGAGAGAGAGAGAGAGTTTTTCTTTTTAAATAATGTCTAGAAATAAGGAAAGTAATCTTATTATAAGTGCAAAACCATCTCAAAATGAGAAATATTAGATATATTGACTAGATTTATTATCATTTCACTTGATAAGATACATTTTTTGCAGTGTGGAATGGTCCATATATAATGTATAATGGGCAATTATGGATGTGCAGTGAACCACAAATTTCTTTCTTTATATTTTTATTTTCTGGAAAAAATTAGTCTCAGCTTCACCTCTAGTGGTCTTGACCACAACACCAGTGAAGAACCTGCATGACCTCATTCTCCTTTTTGCTCCATCTCTCCTTCCAGCACTTCAAGGTGTTGGTGGAGGGCCTGCATGTGAAAGGAGAGGGGAAAGTCAAGAAAGCCATGAAAGAGGCCTTCCGTGTCCTCAATGAGGTGCGTGGTGCGTTTTGTGTACAAGTGTTTGAGTATCGGTTGGTTTACGTATCTCTGTTACACTCTCAGAAATAAAGGTACTAAACTGTCTCTGGGGCGGTTCCCCTCTTATCACTGGGGTGGGACCCTCAAGGGTCCATCTCAGTACCTTTAGTCAGGGAACATAACTGAACCATAATCCACTGAAATGATATGTTCTGAGCTGTACTGACTCCACACACCCCGTCTCGTCTCCAGGCTTTTATTTTACTGTTCTGTTTAAAACATTCGGTTATGAAAAGGTACAAATACGAACTTTTCACCTGGAAACACTTATTTAAGGTTCACAATCAGACCTTAAAACCACTGTTGGAGCTTTGAGGGAACATTTACACTGTTTGTACCTTGATGAACGAAGAACGTACCTGCGCAGTTCTCTGATTGGCTGTGTTTGTGTTCTGTGCAGGCCGTTACGACGGGTAAGGGCAGCCTCTGTAACCAGGCTATAATGCTGATCACTGATGGTGCAATGGAGGACTTTCAGCAGGTGTTTGAGGAGTTTAACTGGCCGGAGCGCAGGGTAAACACACAGCACACAGGCTCCTTTTAAAGGTGATAAAGTACTGGAACCGCTGAAACCAGAAAACTGGACCTTTGCTTTTTTATGTTGGCCATCAGTCCAGTTCTGAAGGTTCCATTTTTTGGTACCTAACAGGATCTAATGGTATTTGAGGGTGTTCTCCTCTTTTTGGAAACACTTTGGAAACACTTACAGCTGAACTATCACTGTTTTAGCACAAGCACTATTACATCATACATCAATTAAACCGTTAATAAACCGTTAATAAACCGTTTTACGATGCGTTCTTAACAAGATGGTTCTTTAGTAAAGAAAATGGTTCTGTATAGAACCATGAACACTCAAAGAACCTTTTGCATGGTTAAAAAGTTCTTTGCATCATGAAAGTGTTCTTCAGATTGATGGACAATGTGCTGTAGATGGTTCTGCATAGAACCTTTTTTAAAATGTAAATAGCACCCAAAAGGGTTCTTCTGTGGTTACAAGCTTCACATTGTTACAATAGAAGAACCCTTTTGGGTGCTATATACAACCATTTTTAAAAAGGTTCTATACAGAACCATCTACAGCACATTGTCCATCAATCTGAAGAACACTTTCATGATGCAAAGAACTTTTTAACCATGGAAAAAGGTTCTTTGAGGTTCTATATAGAAGCATTTTTTGCTAAAGACCCTTGAAGAACCATCTTTTTCAAGAGTGTGGTTTCAGCTGTAGCTCAATAATGATAATAACTATTATTATTATCTATTATTTCTCAATATGAGACTGTTGTATGAATATTGTAAGAATATTTAACTTATTTGTAGACATTTTTACTAGTTTTAAGTAATTTTATCTTATGAAAGTGTCTTATTCCATTAGCTGATGATTTTACTTGTTTTAAGCAAAATTATCTTCATTATTTCTCAAAACAAATAAAACGATCTACCAACAGAATAAAACACTTTAATAAGATACAATTACCTAAAACAAGTAAAAATGTCTATAAATAAGATAAATAGTCTTACAATATTCTATCAATCTCAGAATGAGAAATATTAGATATATTTACCAGAGGAGAATTATTATAATGGTTTGTCTCCTTCAGGTCCGTGTGTTCACGTATCTCATTGGACGAGAGCTGACGTTTGCTGACAATGTCAAATGGATTGCCTGTAATAATAAAGGTAAGTCATCATCAGTACATCAGTTCAGACTTGCACACTTTTCATTGAGGGTTTGATTTGCTCCCCCTGTGCGAGAGCTGCCCTCTGTTGGCCAAAAGGAAAATGACACTGTGGCTCACTTTACTAAAGACCCCATGGAGGACCATCTTTTTAAGAGTGTATTTTTCAATTTACAGTGAATTTTACAAAGATGTTCTATTCACACAGGTGAAAACGACATATTTACTAGTAAAAATTCATTTCTTACATGTGAAAACTGAATTTACTAGTTTAAACATAATATTTATAACCTGAAATTTAATTTTCAGATTTGTGAATTGAAATTCTGAGATCAAGAAAAAATAACGACATGTTAAATTACCAATAACTTGTTAGTAAAAGTGTTACTACAATTTAAATGAGCTGAAAAAAGGCCTGAATTATTAAAAGTTGAACTTTAAGATGTTATGCTTAGATTTTTATATGTGTCACTGTGGCTCAGGCTATGAAATCCGCTTTGTAGCTTGATATCAATAAAGTAGATGGCAACACTCCAAACAAGATAGTTGCAGGGATAGAACCAACAGACTGTAGTCCATCTGTTTCTCTGCATACTTTGTTAGCCCACTTTTACCCTGTTCTTCAGTGGTCAGGACCCCCATGGACCCTCACAGAGCAGGTACTATTTGGGTGGTGGATCATTCTCAGCACTGCAGTAACACTAACATGGTGGTGGTGTGTTAGTGTGTGTTGCGCTGGTCTAAGTGGAGTGGACACTGTGTCCACTCACTGTCCACTCTATTAGATACTCCTACCTTGTCGGTCCACCTTGTAGATGTAAAGTCAGAGACGATAGCTCATCTGCTGCTGCACAGTTGTGCTGGTCATCCTCTAGTCCTTCATCAGTGGTCACAGGACGCTGCCCACAGGACGCTGTTGGCTGGATATTTTTGGTTGGTGGACTATTCTCAGTCCAGCAGTGACACTGAGGTGTTTAAAAACTCCAGCAGCACTGCTGTGTCTGATCCACTCGTACCAGCAAAACACACACTAACACACCACCACCACGTCAGTGTTACTGCAGTGCTGAGAATGATCCACCACCCAAATAGTACCTGCTCTGTGAGGGTCCATGGGGGTCCTGACCACTGAAGAACAGGGTAACAAAGTATCAGAGAAACAGATGGACTACAGTCTGTAACTGTAGAACTACAAAGTGCACCTATATAGTAAGTGGAGCTGATAAAATGGACAATGAGCGTAGAAACAAGGAGGTGGTCGTAACGTTATGCCTGATCGATGTGCGGAAAGATTTTTGAAAGCTTAACTTTATTCCAGTGAGTCTGATGAAGGACTTTGAATTGTATGAGGCTCTGTCTGACACAGAAAGAGGGAATGAACACGATGCAAAATTGCTTTCCATATATCATCTGCCAATTCCTCAGCAATATCCTTCTAACACTGGTTCTTAATAGTACAGAGAGGGTAATTATAAACTGAAAAAAATCTAGCATGCATATTGGACGACTTTAGAAAGACATGAATGGTGGAGCTTTCTGGTTCAGTGGGAAAATGGGGCGTGTTGTCATGGACAAAGCTGTGGACTGAAAGAATGTGTTATTAGGCAGGTGAAATTTGTCTTTAAGCTGTTGAAATGATGCAAATTTCCCAAACGTTGTACGTTACAAAAATGAGCAATATTTTTGTGCTCCTTTGTCGTCAGGGTACTACACACACATCTCCACTCTGGCAGACGTACAGGAGAACGTTATGGAGTATCTGCATGTTCTCAGTCGACCCATGGTGATCAACCATGACCATGACATCATCTGGACAGAGGCCTACATGGACAGCGTGGTGAGCTTCATTCTTTTTTTCTTTCTTTCTTTTAAAATCAACATTTCAGTGTGGAATGAACTGGTTTTCACCTTTTCCCCTCTGTAATCATCTGCTGTTGGGCTAATCAGCTCTGTGGCTGTTTCGTTGTTGTTTTCATGCTGTCTGTCATCTCCTCCGCATGTCTCTCTCCATTCATGGCACCTGTCTATCCCACCTCTCTCTCTCTCTCTCTTTCAATCCACCAGCTGCCCAACACAGCTGAGGTAAAGATACGGCTAGTCTAGAGTCTTTAGTGAGGTCGCTCATTAATGTAGTGAAAGATCTAATGTAGTTTAGGTGAACATTATTGTCAACGTATCCCATAAACAATCACGGTAAGTTGTGGAAAATGTGGATAAACAATAAAAAATCAGGGTTTTTCTGATAGTGTGGTGATGTCAGTAATTGTGGAATATACTTGGAATATATTTTAAAGACACTGCAGTTCGTGCTGAAATACATTCCCAACACTGAAATGTATTTCAGATTATACTGCCATATTCAACAAATATATCGCTGCTGATGGAAGAAAACCTTGTATTTCCATTTTTGTCGTTTTTCAGTTTTTGACCTAATTTGAAAATGCCTGTTACCCTTTACATTGTGTGTAAATTTCATGATGAATGGGCCAAAAGAAATGACCCAAAATGACTTGGGGGAAAAAAGTCTGGTTCCATTGACTTACATTAAAAGTAAAGTAGGTTTTCTCCTTTTCCTGTAAAGTTATCATTTTGGAGATACGAGGTTTTCTTCCAACAGCAGCGATATTCTAAAATACATCTATTTTAAAATGTATGGGGAAATATTACACACATAAATGTACCATACAAAAATAAATGTATGTAAATGGGTTTATTAAATCCATTTAAAAAATTTATAAAAATATCCAGAATCCTGTCTGATGCTCTTCACTGTCTGATACCTTTAGAGATAAATTTGTGTTCCAGTCTCTTCATTTTAAATCTGATCTAATGATCCTTTAACAGGACAGAAGCGAGTGTTGTGGGTATTGATACTCTGTGAAAATGCAGTTATGATCTGATATCTTGTTTATGTGAAATACATTGTGTGTGAGAGTCTGACTGCAGACGTACATGGTTAATGTAAAGTACAGTGCAGATCACAGACGTCAGTACGTTTAGTTACATCTGGAACCTTCATTACACTCAACTGAACACAGATAATAACACATACTGATAAATACATTTTAAAAATATATTCATACATAGAAAAATGTATTAAATAAATAAATTTAGAGTATATTTTTTAATGTGGGAGCTATTGTACATTGAAACTATACATGTCGTTATAGTATGTGTTATAAGTGTAGTTCAGTTGTATCTGCACTCAAAAAAGTATCAGATGTACTTAAAAATCTTAAGTCAGTTGCTTCAATACAAAAAGTATCTTTTCAAGATTTAAGAGTTTTTTGTCATACTCACAGAGAAAGAGACAGTAACACTGTACCATAAAATTCTTACTCTGCACTACAACTCACTATACACTCTTAAAAAGATGGTTCTTTAGGGGTTCTTTAGTAAAGACAATGGTTCTATATACCCTCAAAGAACTATCTGCATGTGTAACGGGTTCCTTGCATGGTGCAATAGTTCTTCAGATTGATGGAGAATGTGTTGTATATGATTTTATACAGGACCTTTTTGAAAAAGATTCTATATAGCACCAAAAAGGGTTCTTCTATTGGTACAAGTTGGACATTGTAACAATAGAAGAACTCTTTTTGGTGCCGTATAGAACCATATACAACACATTCTCCATCATTTCACCTCTCAAGGAACCCTTTAAACATGCAAATGGTTATTTGAGTGTTTATGGTTCTATATAGAAGTATTCTCTTTACTAAAGAACCCTTGAAGAACCATCTTTTTAAGAGTGTAATATCAGTGAGAGGAGACTGATTTAAACATGGCAAGTTCACTGTTTCTGAGCGTGTGGTTGTGAAGGTTGTGTTTGTTAAAAAAATGTAACATCATAATATATTAATACATTAAAGATATTTTCACAAAACGCAATACATATTCCAATATTTAGTTTGATCAGTTGCACCAACAAAACTGTAGTACCACATTGTGACACTGTGAAAAACTATGAGTATAAAAATGCTTTTTCTTTCCCAAAAACCATTTGATTAGTCATTGTGGAAACACTGACAGTATTGACTATATAGTTATTATAATTATTACACTTCAAAAATCATATCTCTGCAAGTGAAAACATATTAAATGTAGTTAATATATCTAATATTTCTCATTATGACATTGTCTTAAGAATATTATAAGATTATTCCACTTATTTCTACACATTTTTACTGGTTTTAAGTCATTGTATCTTATGAAAGTGTCTTATTCCACTGGCAGATCATTTCATTTGTTTTGGTCATTATTTTTAAAATAAACAAAATTCTTTTCATTATTTCTCTAAACGAGTAAAATGATCTGCCAAATGCAATAAGACACTTTCACTGGATAAAATGACTTAAAACAAGCAAAAATGTAGAAACAGGTGGAATAATCTTAGAATGTTCTTCAAACAGTCTCATAATGACAAAATATTAGATATATTAACTACATTTAAGATGTTTTCGCTTGCTAAGATTTCATTTTTTTGCAGTGTAGTCATCTGCAGTTAATTGAATATCTGTTTAGTAACTCTTACCAATACTCAGGTCAGAGTGCACATCCTGAATATCCACAATAAGCTCTGAAAAGTGTTTCATGATGTAATTCATTGAGATAAAGACATCATATCGTCAGTTGTGATTGTGTAACTGGTACCATCGTCTCTTGTGCAGGTGCACTGCGTCCTTCTCTGGCTAAACAGTTTGACGGTGTTGGCTGTGGGCTGTACATTTTGAGCTCTGGATGGCAGCTTTAAAATGATTTTCTGACCTTATCAGCTTGAAGGACATGCACAAAAGAAAGATTTATGACTTATGGTGTCAGTGCCCTCTGTTTCACTTACTGACTGTCAGACTGTCCACTCACCTCCGGTCAGCGCTCACCTCAGGTAGATTCAGGCCCTCTCTAGCACCTGGTATAGGCCTGTCCTGCATGGTGTGTGAGCTCCTCTCTATGGCTAAATGGAAGTTCTGATTCCTGAAGCCAAAGTTCCTAATTGCCACTAATTGACTAATTGGCTGTCTGTTTTGGTGATTTTTTCACTGAACTGGTTTAAAGTCAAAGCTGAAAACACATTTCTGACTTTCAACTGACTTAAAAAATTTACTGTACTAAAATGCTTAATATACTTTTGCTTTGTGTGACCCTAAGCCTTAATTCTGTTTCAGAACACTACCAAATTTTACCAAATGTTTCGGGAGTGACGATTCTTAATGTTCCACACTGATTTTCAGACTTTGGGACACATTTACTTCAAAACAATGGGATCTAACTGCTCACCATGTGGCCATAAGGGACAGGCATGCAGCCTCACTACCTGCTCTAAAATACAGGGGCGTGGCTAAAACAAGACTCCGCCTACAGACTAAAACTGTTTCAGTAGTGACATGAAAATTTAGGACAGCAAGTTTTTTAATCTAAAACTTAAACTCATGATAAATCTCTATATATCTATCTAAAAATCTTTCAACTTCTCTTTAAAAAAATAAAGACATTTTTAAAAACAACTTTAAAAAAAAAAAGTATTAAATATGTTTTAAGTAAATTTAGGGGTTAGGGTTTGGGACAGACTCCTCCCAGTAGAAAGTACCCTATAATTGATGATTTTGCATATTTAGTTTATTACTATCTCTATTAATGTCTTGGGTTTAAATAGATCAGAACAAAGTGCTTGTCAATATCTAAGCTCTGAATACTTTGTTATTTATTTATTTATTTATTTATTTACTGTGGGTGCGCAGTTTGAAATAATTCAGTAGAATAATCCATATAATTTATTTCCAGTAATGAAGCCATGTATATCAACCACAGCTAAAACAGGCAGATTTGCTGCTGTGAAGATCATCAGTACTGAACACAGTCGTTATCAATGCTGGGGAAAAAATAAATACAGTAGTGAATGTAACCACAAACTTGCATACTCATGTCAGAATGTGAGTGGATTTAGGATTAAACTCCTAAAAATGCCTTTTGAGAAAAGTTAAAATGTTAAAAATTATGTATATATGTGTTGTTAAAAGGGGAATTTTGGAGTGATGCCATCAGTGAATGAGTCGTTAAAGCCAGATTTGTTAAGCATCGTCTACTGTTTGTGCTAATTTAGCATCACTAAACTTGTCAGTAGGTGTCCAGTTTCCTTTTCATTAAATAAAAACACAAAAATGGTTAATGCACCCTTAAAAACCCTGACTGAGACAGACATATATAGTCCCTTTAGCTAATATCTACGTTTGCAACTGATATCACCAACAAATTGCTAACAATTTATCAAGAATAGCTGCTTTTTGCAATTGTGAAAAATAATATTTATGGTTAATTTTTCCACTTCTATAATGTGTTTTCCTGGTAAATTTACATATCCACATTTCCCACATCTGCTTATTTACTTGCTACTTGGCTAATTAAGCAGTTTGTAGTCTGTAGTTTATTAGCGTTTTAGTGCTACACTCTTAAAAAAGATGGTTCCTCCAGTGTTCTTCAGCAAAGTTCTTTACTCAGATAACCATTTGCATGCTTAAGTGGTTCTTTACGTTGAAATAGTTCTTCAAATTGACAAAGAAAGTGCTGTATATGGTTCTATATAGTACAAAAAGTGTTCTTTTGCTGTTACAAACTTGACATTGTAACAGTAGCAGAACGTTTTCTGGTGCTATTTAGAACCATTTTCAAAAAGCCTTTCTATAGAACCATATACAACACATTCTCCATCAATCTGAAGAACCATTTCACCATGCAAAAAACACTTAAACATGCAGATGGTTCTATATAGAACTCGTGGCCCTAAATAGAACCATTGTCTTTACTAAGAACACTTAAAGAACCATCTTTATTATTGTAGGTTTACTGATTTCTCAATCTTTTCTCCTAAAACCCTGCTTAGGAGAAAAGTGGAGCTTAAAATATGCATTTAGCTGTATGAAGTTCTGGAGATGAACAAGAAAAGCAGGAGCTCCCCATTTACACTGATAGATAGACTGCTTGGAGATTCAGAGATACAGAATGGAAAATGGAAAATAATGAGATTGTTCACTTTTCTATGTAAATATTTTTCATTCAGAGTGGTTTGGTGTGAAATTGTTCATTGTAGAGAAGCCTCTTTACAGCGGTGGTGATAGGAACTGGGGTTTGTGATGTTTACAAGCCAAATGTTTGTATTTAATGAATACATACTGTATATAATGGTGGGATAGTGGCAAAAGTTTTCTTTGGGGGCTATTAAAATTAAGTTTTTGTCCAAAACCTCAAAAATAAAGTCTCAGTCATCAGGCAGTGAATTCATTCCATGTAGTAACTTTCTGTGAGGGAGCTTTTAGAGGTGGACGTCTGGTTCCTATCACCACCACTGTGAATAATTCTGACTCGGTAAGTTTATCTAGAACGAAGCTTTTCACACCAAACCACTCGGAATGACTCTGTTTACATGTCAACCATTTAATTATGCAGAAAATTTGAAAAATGTGTGGAGTTCCCCTTCCAGTCTCACAGTGATTTTAAACAGGACTAAGCCACCATGTCTAGGAGAAGTAACTGAAGTTAAGAGGAGATCTTATTCTAGTTGTTTAATGTACAACATTTATTATCAACATTTATAAGCCTTGAATGTACTGTATGATGTATTTACAGGTTGTATCGTACCTGGGCTATGCTAGTCTCTCTCTCTCGCCCATTCCCTCTCTCTCCTCTCACTCTCTGCTCTCTTGTGTTTCAGCTGTTTAACACTCAGGCCCAAAGCTTGCTGCTTATGACCTCAGTGGCCATGCCTGTGTTCAGCAAGAAAGAGGAGACTGTGAGTCAGCAAAATAAGCTCTTCCCAAAATGACCCATATGACCCCTGTAGTGTATTCAGGTCAAGGAAAACGTGTTGTTCAATGTTTAGCTTGGAATGACATTCCTTTGGCTGGATATTCCAAATCCTCTCTCTCTCTCTCTCTCTCTCTCTCTCCCTCTCTCTCTCGCTAGCTGTCCCATGGTATACTCCTGGGTGTGGTTGGTACTGATGTTCCTTTGAAAGAACTCATGAGACTGGCTCCTCGATACAAGGTCAGCGATGCCTTCTGTTTCATCCTGTTCCTGTAGAACTGTGGTTTCTTGGTTTGTTTCCAACCTGCATTTAAACACCCCCCCCTTTTACCTATCAGTGAGTGCGTTTGCACGCACACCAATAATACGATCAGCAGTTATCTGATTATTCAAGTCATCATGTAAATAGCAAATAAATGCTGTTACCAGTTTCTGGAGCTCAGTAATCCGCTTTTTTCAGCCCATTTCTACCCTCTTCACTGATTTCTTTCATTTTTCTCAGCTTGCGCAAATGCGAAAACCAATTTTTGCACACCTCCAGCACTTTCGAGCTAAACCTGCAAAATAAACAACATTATTTTTGATTTTAAAATCAGTTGCCTGTTTAAATATCATGAATCAAATAAAGTGACACATTGGAGGTAAGAGGCAACTGGCTGTTTAGCACAAAGAGTTGTGTATAATTATGCTACAACATTTTGCTGCAAATACAGTGTGAGTGCATTTACCTGCCTCACAGTAAACAGGCCGATTGCTGATTTTGTTTTATTTTTAGCAAAAATCTGTGATTCCGATCGTGGCTGATTCTGATTGTACATCCATAATATTCACCAGAGCTGGTATTACAGAAACCTCTTAAGTCCTAAATCTTATCTGCTTAATTACCTTGATAACTTCAGTTAGGACTGAATTTAGAACAGTAGCTATTACAGATTATACAGCAGTGAGTCCCAGCCACGCAAGCTGATTGGTTGAGAAGCGTTCTATCCGTGCTGTTATTTCGCCATAACATCACGGTTTGTTCGCACTGTATCACTCCGCTGAAACGCTGTTGCTAAGCAACGACTTTGACTGCTGTAGGAGACGCTCAAGACATTTGAACGTTTTTACTTCTTACTTTGCCACAAACAAAAAATGGACACTTTTAAGATCACATTTGACCGACAGCCGATTTGGTCAGACTCTGAAGATGAGACGACACTAAATTCCCAAACTGTCATCACCACTGAGCAGCTTTTCAGTCGTCAGCTGAGACAGAAGAACAGCTGAACAACCTGGAATCAGCCAGAAATGAACCCAACACCATTCGCCAAACTAAATGGGCTGTAAGATGCTTTACAGACTGGCTGGAACAAAACAACATTAATACTGATCTGGCAAAAACTGACAAAACTGAGCTAAACTTGATATTGCTGCAGTTTTATGGCTCAGTCCATATTTCAAAAGGCAAGGCTTACAGCAGACTGTGCAGCACTGTGTGCTTGTTAAGAAACTATAATTTGGTGAAGGAACTGCGAACATTAAAACATATTAAACGCCGCGTTCACGGCCCAGTTTATTAATTTATTACTTTATTTATTTAACTGTTGTATAAAAGCAATAGAACACTCGAGGAGTGTGTTATCGCCAATAACATCACGGCTGTGATGATCTACGGCGACCAAATCACAGCCGTGATGTTATTTCGCAATAACACACTCCCTCTGTGTTCTATTGCTTAAATAAAACACAAGTAAGTAATAATGACACAAGTAAAAGTACCTCTAGATAAAACAACGTGAGTAAAAGTACAAAAGTATCAGGTCAACACACTACTAAAGTACTCAGTAACATACATCTGCAGTGGAACTTCTTAATAAATTCAGCATCTTTTAGCTCAGGAACTGAAGACTGTACAGCTCTATCTTTCTCTTTTTTGGGTTATTCTGGTCTGAAATAAAATGCTAAAGCTCCAAAGTGAGAAGTGTGATCAATCACAAAGCAGTACAGATGCTGCCAACAACAAAACAGAATGGAATTAAACACAAAATAGGAATTAGTAACTAAATATGAATGGCTAAAAAGTAAACGAGTAAAAAGTAGGCTCCTTTACTCACTAATCTACTTGAGTAGAAGTAAAAGTTTTAGGTATTCTACTTAAATAAATGTACTTGGTAAATGTAACTGGTTACTACCATCCTCTGGTGTTATTTAAGCTTCAGTGTCTTTCAGTTCCAGCCTCTGCTGTGCTTTTCATACAGCTCTTATTTGTGCTTCACTGAAATTGTCCTTTAACTGTTCTCAGCTGGGAGTTCACGGCTACGCATTTCTGAACACAAACAATGGCTACATCCTCTCTCACCCAGACCTGCGGCCACTGGTGAGCTTCACTTCCTCATCACTGCCACGTCCTCCAAATCTGACCAAGAAGGACATTTTATTTAGCCTAGTTCCATAAAAGAACCTCCACTGGTTCCCTAAAAACGTTTCAATGGACTTTTCTTTACACTCTTAAAAAAAGACGGTTCTTCAAGGGTTCTTTAGTAAAGGGAATGGTTCTGTTTAGAAACATGAGTTCTATATAGAACAATTTCATACTTAAATGGTTCTTTGCATGGTTAACCGGGTTCTATATTGTTCTGACAAATTTTTGCATCCTTTTTGGTGCTATATAGAACCATTTTCAAAAATGTTCTATATAGAACTATGTACAACACATTCTGCAGCAATCCAAAGAACAAAGTCACCATGCAGAAAACTCTTGAGGCATGCAAATGGTTCTATATAGAACTCATGGTTCTAAACAGAACCTTTACTTTTACTACAGAACCCTTGAAGAACCATCTTTTCTTGTAGAGAACCGTATTTGTAAATGAGACACATGAGTGTGAAGAACCTTTTTTTTTAAGTTGTGTGAAGAACCAGGATGTAAAGGTTGAACTGTTGGTCCAAGAACCATTTAGAAACCTTTGTTTGTGTGTTCTGGTGCTAAATGATGAATCTGCTCCCACAGAGACCTTCTAGGAGCTTGGTCAAGAACCTTTATATCACATGATGTTTCCTTGAGAAGGGTCTTCACATTCACATATCTCTTTTTCAAGCATGGTTCTTTAGAGAACCCAGAGTGGTTCTACGGCATTCCTCATAGAACCCTTTGTGGCACTGTCATTTTTAAAAGTGTACATGCAGATTTTACAAGAAGTTTCTTAAAATTTCTTGCACTTATAATATTTTGGCCGCTTATTTGGTTTGGTTTATTTGTTGCTTTATATTTTATTTGGATCACTGTTCATATGATAATGTGAAGCAGAAGAAGCTAGAATGGCCTGTGTGGATGTGAGTGGAGGTGTGTGGATGTGTGTGGAGGTGTGTGGATGTGAGTGGAGGTGTGTGGATGTGTGTGGAGGTGTGTGGATGTGAGTGGAGGTGTGTGGATGTGAGTGGAGGTGTGTGGATGTGAGTGAAGGTGTGTGGATGTGTGAGGAGGTGTGTGGATGTGTGTGTACGTGTGTGGAGGTATATGGATGTGTGTGCAGGTGTGTGGAGGTGTGTGGATGTGCGTGTAGGTGTGTGGATGTGTGTGGAGGTGTGTGGATGTGTGAGGAGGTGTGTGGATGTGAGTGGAGGTGTGTGAATGTGTGTGGAGGTGTGTGGATGTGTGTGGAGGTATGTGGTGGTGTATGGAGGTATGTGGATGTGTGTGGAGGTATGTGTAGGTATGTGGATGTGTGTGGAGGTGTGTGGATGTGTGTGGAGGTGTGTGGAGGTATGTGGAGGTGTGTGGATGTGTGTGGAGGTGTATGGAGGTGTGTGGATGTGTGTGGAGGTGTGTGGATGTGTGTGGAGGTGTATGGAGGTATGTGGATGTGTGTGGAGGTATGTGGAGGTGTGTGGAGGTGTGTGGAGGTGTGTGGAGGTGTGTGGAGGCGGTTAACTCCTTAAACGGCCAGGGCCCACCGGCGGGCCTGAAGTGTTACTGCACACTTCCATAACCTACACACTTAAAAATCATGGTTCTTCAACAGTTCTTTCGTACAGAAAATGGTTCTACGTAGAACCATGAACACTCAAAGAACCTTTTGTATGATTAAAGGGTTCTTTGCATCGTGAAAAAGTTCCTCAGATTGATGGGAAATGTGTTGTATATAGCTCTATATAGAACCTTTTTTGGAAAGGGAAGAAGGGTTCTTCTATTGTTACGATATCAAGCTTGTAATAATAGAAGAAACCTTTTTGGTGCTACATGGAACCATATACAACAAATTCTCTATCAATCTGAAGAACCATTTCAAGATGCAGACAACCCTTTTATCATGCAGTGAGTTTTTTTGAGCGCTCATGGTTCTATATAGAACCATTTTCTTTACTGAAGAACTCTTGAAGAACCATCATTTGTGTGTAAGAAAAGTTTGCATTGTGGTCCGTGTAATTACTGAATACTGAAGTCTTAGTATGTCAGGATTTTAAGGGGTTAATATTTTAGATCAGTGCTTTTCAAGTCTTTTCTTGTTTGTTAGTACAAAGAAGGGAAGAAGCTGAAGCCCAAACCCAATTACAACAGTGTGGATCTGTCTGAGGTTGAGTGGGAGGACACCGAAGACACCGTGAGTGAACATTCTGTCACAGGCAGATTAGAAACTCCAGGTCTAAGCTGGTTTTCTCTCTGAGAGAAATGAATGGTGTCTTCCAGAATTGACTCTGTCATATCCTGTGGTAAACAAAGACCCCATTTGCACCTGGGGCCGTATTACAGAAACTTTCTGAAATCTTATCATATCTGCTCAGCCACCACGCCAACTTCAGTTAGGACTGAATTTAGGACAGACACCTTTACAGAACAACAGTTCTTAACTTCAGTATCTCATCATGAACTCCAGGTAAGAAAACAGCATCACACAAACATCCTAACTAGACTAAACCTCCTAAATCCTGTCCTAACTTTAGGATGAACCCCAACAGGGTCCTCACTTCTGTTTAAGGTCCGTTTCTATGGTTTTTAGGCAGCTGTGTCAGCAGCATAGTTCACTACCAGCATAATGAGCTCCATTTATTCCTACTGTAAAACGCTGCTTTCACTGTGAGATGATTTTCTTTTCTAACTCTGCGTTTTAAAGATCTCAGACGCTGCAGACTCGATCTCCACCACCCCTCTGATTACCTTTGTGTGTTAATGTTGATGATGAAATATTACAGTGATGGTGGTGAATAATGAGGAGACGGAGCTGAACGTGTGTCTGTTTATTAGGAGGAATAACATAAGGTGATTCAAATCTGTCATTAATGTGACGAACCGGTGTCCTGAAATGACCCTCATGATCACATCCTACTCAGTAACGTCACGTGAATGAATCACGTTCATCATCAGCACAAACTAACGAGCAGAACGAGCTTCGCTGAGAAGATAATTAACTCTGATCAGCTCTCAGCTTCATTATTAGAGCGAAACGATGGAGAAAAAGGTGAGATGAGCTGCTTTTCCACCGTTTACAGGCTTTAACTTCTGCTCGGCGCTGTTGCCATGGTAACGCTGAATGACGGCGCACGCGCAGTGGAGAAGAAGCGCATGAATTCTGATCTGAGCGTCACATTAAGGTCGCATGGCCACGAATCGGATATGTATCCGATCTCGGACCACATATGAAAGTGGCTCAGGTCGGATTTGAAAAGATCAGATTTGCGTCCACACAGCTATGAAAACATCAGATCTGAGTCACATTAGGGCAAAAAATCGGATTTGTGCCACTTCAACCTGGTAATGTGAACGTCGCCTTAGTTTCCCACAGGGTGAGAAAGCAGCAGTTTTAGAAAACTCCATTCATTTTTCCCCTTAGAGAAATCCAGCTCAGACCCAGAGTTCCTTATATGGTCATCTATAACTACAGAATGAAGCAGACGTCTATATATGATATACAGTATATTGTGTAGACAGCTTAATTGTGTATGTGTGTTCTTCCACCAGTTGAGGACAGCCATGGTGAAAGGGGAGACAGGGACACTCTCTCTGGATGTGAGGGCCACAGTGGATAAAGGGGTACGTGACCTTTGACCTTATCCCTGCTTGTGGTCAGCAGTTAGCTGCCAGAGCATCAATGATTTCCAACATGTTACCACAGCAGGCTATAGTGAGACCGCTTTAAATGCAGAACCTGAATACAGTGTTCTCTCTTTATAGAGGAGAGTCATGTTCCTGAAAAACGAATACTTCTACACAACCATCAACGAGACTCCTTTCAGGTGAACAGAAATCTAATGTGTTTGTTCTATAATGTGTTTTCCCTTTATTTTTAACTGACAGATTGATTAATTGACTTTTTCTTCTCCAGTCTTGGATTAGTGCTTACCAGAGGTCATGGGAAGTTTATTTTCACAGGCAACATTTCAGTGGAAGAAGGTTAATCTTCACTTTTCAGATTATTTTTCACAAATTTCATTATCTTGGTTATACGGTTACTTGCAAAGGTTTGTGCGCCCCCACTTAAATTACATGTTTGGTTGATTTTCTAATTAAAGTAAGTCCTCTACATCCTCACATCCTCTACAGAGAACACACTTCTGCACACTTTATTTCACAATTACTGTTTATTTGCTGAATTTAGCATACTGGAAATAAAACATAAAATGTAGCCTCTGCAAACATTGTCATATTTTATATTTTATTTTTTCCAATATGATAAAATTCTGCACTACAACTTGTAGAAAAATGCCACATTTAATGTGTCTCTGTAGAGCACGTGTTAACTTATTTTCAATTAGAAAATGAACAAAACGTGTTATTTAATCTGTGTTGTTCAAACTTTTGCATACAACTGTATGTACACTGTCTCATTTATTATTATTTATTATATTATTATTAACTCTTTTCTTCTCTGTCAGGTTTGCATGATCTCACCGCATCTGACGTGGCGATAGCAAACGAGTGGTGAGTATGTGCTGGAAGAAGAAGAACCAGACCGAAACCTTCTTCTTTTTCTTTTTCTTCTTCATCTATAGCAAAAAATCAGAAAAACGACCATTATCTACAAGTTATTACTTTTTCAGCATTGGGAAACAATTTAATCCAAGATCAACTGTTTGAGTGTTGAGTGTGTCCACTCTTCACCTTTATTCCAGCTTCCATTCTTTTCAGGAGACTCACTTTCAGTTCCTCAAAGAATCTGCAGACACACCTCCAAAGTTCAGTCTTAGAAGCTGGTTGATCTTTTCTGAAGTAATCAAACACATTCAGGGATGTTAAGGTCTGGACTCTGGGGTGGTCAGTCCATTGTTCAGCTTGATGTGTCCGTCTCCTTTTCACTTTGACTTTCTTCTCCCTTACACAAGTGGATTATCTTAGAAATATCTCAGAAACATCTCCTGCAAAATAAATAACAACAACAATAATAATAATACTAATAATAATAATACTTTTTATTAATATAGTACTTTTCATGCCGGTGGCAGCTCAAAGTGCTTTACAGACAGATGATAAAACATAGTTATACAAGAAATCATAAGTATTTATTTAGAATCAGAAGAAAATAAAACAGATCAAATTAGAAGATAAAAACCACGAGACGTAGAGTTTTAATTAAACGCTGAGTTAAAGAGATACATTTTTAGATGCTTCTTAAAAGTGAGCACTGAGCTTGACTGTCTAATAAAAGATGGAATTCAGTTCCACAGTTTAGAAGCATAATAACTGAAAGAGTCTCTCTATGTTTTCTGTATTTTACAGAGGGTGTTTGTAGAAGGCCACTATCTGCAGATCTTAGATTACATGCTGGAACATAAAAACAGACAGACAGCAGAGCTTTAAGGTCATTTTGAGCTTTAAAAACTAGTAGCAGAGCTTTAAAATCTATCCTGAATGATACAGACAGCCAGTGCAGCTCTTTTAAAACAGGAGTGATCTGATCTCTCTGTTTTGTTTTTGTTAGGATGCTGCAGCATTATGTACGAGTTGTAAGAGATGTATTGTTTTCTTAGGAAGTCCAGTAAGAAGACCATTACAGTGATCAACTATGCTTTAACAAATGCATGAACAAGTTTCTCTGCGTCGCTCTGAGACAGAAAAGGCCGAACTTTAGTGATATTTCTCACGTGATAAAAAGCTACTTTAGTGACTGCGTTTACATGCAGGATAAAACAGAGCTTGTACTTGTACTTGTAAATTGTACTTCATGGAAAGGCAATAAACGAAGGCTTTAGCTTTTTCTACAGTACCGTAAGCTTTTCTCAGAATGCTACAACTAACAGAACAGCACTCGAAACAGGAAGAGATTAACCTTTAAAACGGAGCACTCCATGAGCAGCCACAGCAGAAGGGCTTTGATTGTATTAAAAGTGGACAGCAAGCACCCTGTTTCAGAGGCATTCTTGGTTATATAGCGCCAGACTGACAGCTGTATCCTGTATTCATCACAATCTCATAATATTTATTGCTATGACTGAAACACATTTGGTAGCCTGAGTGCTGCACCAATAGTTTGTTACATTAAACTGTCAGAGGCCTGTGTTGGTGTTCTTGCTCTGAAAGACAATTCGAGATAATCAATTAAAGGGGAATTCAATGAATTTTTCAAAATTTTTGCATGATTCAGTGGTTAATGTGCAAACAAAGGCATTCAGAGTGGTGCGCCGTTCTAGATAACCTTGCTGAATCAGATCTCTGTACAGTGGTGGTGATAGAAACCAGGGGTTGCCATGACTACAACACAAATATAGACATTTTATGTATTATCCAAAACCACCAGTGAACCTACATGTGTCTTTAGAGTTTTATATGGAATGTTGATGATGGAAAATAGTGGAAAATCTGAAATAATACGTTTTCTTTGTGGACTATTTTGCCCCACAATGCTGTTATAAACCGCAAATACCTCAGGACTACCAGTAGTCTCAGTAATCAGGCAGTGAATTCATAACCATTTCATGTAGTAACTTTCTGTGAGGGAGCTTTTAGAGGTGGACGTCTGGTTCCTATCACCACCACTGTGAACAATTCTGACTGTGTAAGTTTCTCTGGAATGGAGCGTTTCACACCAAACCACTCTGAATGACTCTGTTTACATCGTAACTGTTTAATTATGCAGAAAAATTGTTGGAATTCCCCATTAATGAAACAACAGAAATGTGATTTGCAGTGTGCGCACTAGTGATGCACGACTCCGAGATTCCTGGAGTTGTAACCGACTTTTGACTCCTGCCACTGGAATTGACTGTTTTAACCAAGAAAGCCCCAGAGTTGGTGATAAAGGGACACAGCAATAATTTTGCTTTCACTCACAACAATTTTACATTCACTCGCAATAATTTTGCATTCGCTCACAACAATTTTACATTCACTCACAATAATTTTGCATTCACTCACAACAATTTTGCATTCACTCTCAATGATTTTGCATTCACTCACAACAATTTTGCATTCACTCTCAATGATTTTGCATTCACTCACAACAATTTTGCATTCACTCTCAATGATTTTGCATTAAATCACAATATCTTTGCATTCCCTTGCAAACTATTTGCATTCTCTTGCAAAATCCATTGTATTTGCAACAGACCACAAAATCATTCAATCAATCGATCGATCAGTCAATGAAATTTATCAACTAAAACAAATGAAAATCAGCAAGACAAGAAGATTTATATAAAAAAAATAAAATAATAAGCATAAAATAGCCCTGATAGTAAGAGGATAGTGGGCCACTGTCAGCCCACTGTTGGCAAAGCTGGTGGTCCACTGGCATATTGCTCAGCGTTGTCTGAGCAGCCCACCAGTGTTTAAGCAGAGTGTTTGACAAAATTCCACTTTTCATCGCTCATTTTCCAATTTAGTCATTTTTTCCTTCCTTCTTTTCTTTAGTTGTACTTTGTAAATAAGTTTAGTAAATAATTTTAATCTAGTGCAGTGTCAACAACATTTTCTGTAAAAAATATTTTTGTTAGGCTTTTTTTTCTCAGCTGTTTGTAATATTTGTCTTATTTTTTTTATTTTCTAAAATAAAAGTCTGTGTGCATTTAAGATCGTTTGAGGAGAGGTCCGAGGGTGGACCAGCAGTGGCAAACCGTCAGCGGGGTGCTGACCTTATCAAGCCAGGGGACCGATATATGCTTTGCAATCTGGGAGCAATAAAACATATAATGTCAACAAAATAAAAGTAAACGAACCAACTAAGATATTAATAAAAAATGCAATATCTTTACCACAACCCCTTTTTCAAATTCTTTTTCAGTTCTTTGCATTGAGTTGGATGTTACTCTTTTAAAGTGGCTATATATATATTCGCCAGCTTCTTATTCGACTTTTCCGGTCCACCTTAAATGATGCAGCGATTACCTTCATGGTGCGCCGGCGCCAGCATGTAGCTGCAGCGCCATTTAAGGTGGAACGGAAATTTTAGTAAGAAGCCGGCAAAAAGAAGCAAAACACAGCTTTTTTCACAATGCTGTGAAAACATTGTTTGTTGTTTGGTTTTCGTTCCTAGTTCCGTTTCTTATAATTGCTTATTGCGACCCAAATCGTGAAGAAAATGAAGATGTGCGGTGCAGGACGGATGGAAAACGCCTCTATCAGCAGAGTTTGTGCTCACAGAGGCTGATGAGCAGCGCCGGCGTTGTTTAAAGCCGCTAATTAAACCAACTCACACTGTTCAAACTCAGACTCTTCTGCTTTACGCTCGGCTCCGTCAGACTGTCCCTCCAGCCGGTTACGATGAAAAATCACGGAGTCAACAGGGCCGAAGAGTCGACTCCGAGCATTTCGAATCACTGTCCGAGAGTCGACCCCGACTCTTAAACGTGTTGGAGTCGAAGAGTCGACTCTTTTGGAATCGACTGCCCATTCTGAGCGCAGTTCAAATTCAAAATGTCAACGGCTCAGCGCGAGCCAGCTCCAACGGTTCTCAACCGCTGAAGAGTTTAACTTAGCTTAGCTAACGCTAGGTTAGTTTAGTTGTTACTCTCAGAATTACTGTATAAATCATTACAATACTTTTAAGGATGTGTAGTTATACGTACGACAAGTAATCTAAACTGATAACTTATCTGAATGTATCTGATAATAACCTCTGATTCATTTGTGATCTGAATGTATTGTGAATGTTAATGGCTAACTAGCAAGCCAGGCCAGATAAGGCCATCAGGGTTCCACACTGAGGTAATTTAAGTAAAAAACTGAAGGTAAAATGCTATTTTTTTGTTTGCGTGTTAAAAGTAGAGATGTGTAATGGCAAACATTTCTCACATAAATTGGGTGAATTAACAGACTGACATCTTGCTAACGTTAGCTAGCTAGCTAACCTGTTAGCTTGTATCTGAGGTAAATTAAGGCTGGGGTTTGGCTGAGCAAAAGTTTATGCTGGCTCTACTGTGCATCTAAAGTCTAATATTGTGCTATTAATGCTTTTTAATTTCAGTTTTGTTTCAGTTAGTTTTTATAGGGGCATTACTAGTTTTAGTTTAGTTTTTATTTTCTAAAAAGTGGACATTGAGATTTGGTTTTCATGTTTTTAAAATTAGCTGTTTTTATTTTTATTACAGTTAATGAGCACATTTTTTCACTGCTAGTTATCGTTTTAGTAATAGTTTTAGTTTAGTATAACCCTGTTTCATATAAAGCTGGAAAGGCAGCTGAAATTCCAAAATATGCCATTAAAGTCGAACTCATAAAAGTGTGTCTGAAATTGCAGTGCTGCAGCTCTGCAGCTTGATATTGCTGGGAAAGTGACAGCTAATGTTAGTTCAGTGACTACAGAGTCATTTCTTCATGGTTCTTTGCTCTTTTTATCTTTTCTAGGACGTACTGTGAAACTGATATTGACCCTCACCACCGCAAACTCACACAGTTACAGGCTGTAGTCCGATATCTCACTGGCAAAGAGCCGGACCTGCAGTGTGAGTTAAACTCCTTTCTCACTCATCATGAATAAATTATTTTTCTGTTTGAGAAAATGTACACACTTGAAAAAGATGGTTCTTGAAGGGTTCTTTAGGAAAGGGGTTCTACATAGAACTATGAGTTCTGTACAGAACCATTTGCATGCTGAAATGATTCTTCAGATTGATGGAGAATGTGTTGCATTTGATTCTATATAACACCAAAAAGGGTTCTGCTATTGTTACAACCTTGACATTGTAACAATAGAAGAACTCATTTTGGTGCTATATAGAGCCATTTTCAACAAAGTTCAATATAGAACCATATACAACACATTCTCAGTCTGTCTGAAGAATCATTTCACCATGCAAAAAAAACAGTTGGCATACAGAACCATTTGCGTGCCAAAGAACCATTACATGCAAATCGTTCAAAATAGAACTCATAGTTCTACATAGAACCTTTCTACTAAAGAATTCTTGAAGAACTGTCTTTTTGATGTGTATAGTTCAGTTTTTGCCTGGTATACGGTAAAGTAAATAATTAGAATAGAATTTATTTGATTAAAATGTTTGTTATTTCCACATGAAATATATCGTACCAACACATTTTTGTCTTTCTATTCTTTTACTTTGAGCAATAATTGTATTGATGTAATGTCAACACAGTTTACACGATTGTCTGTGTTCACTAAAGCATGACCCTTTGTCTGTGTTCTAGGTGATGAGGTTCTCCTGAGGCAGACACTGTTTGATGCAGTGGTCACTGCTCCCATGGAGGCATACTGGACTGCCATATTGCTCAATGAATCTGGGTATGTTTTGTTGCAGCACTTGATGTTTTGTTGACTGTATTACAGCCGTTTAAGACTTACAGCATCCTAATTTCCTCTTTTATACCCTGGGTGATGCAGCATTGATGATGGAATTGAGACGGCATTCTTGGGCACTCGTTCAGGCCTGATGAGGATGTTCAAATATGTGGGTGCTGAAAAACGAGTTGCAAAGTGAGTATTTGGGAACCGGGGCGGCACGGTGGCGCAGTGGGTAGCGCTGTCGCCTCACAGCAGGAATGGCCTGGGTTTGATTCCCGGCCGGGCGACCAGGGTCATTTCTGTGTGGAGTTTGCCTGTTCTCCCTGTGTCTGCGTGGGTTTCCTCCCACAGTCCAAAGACATGCAGTCAGGCTGATTGGAGGCCCCTAGGTGTGAGTGAGTGTGTGAATGTGTATGTCTGTCTGTCTGCCCTGTGATGGACTGGCGACCTGTCCAGGGTGTATTCAGCCTTCCACCCAATGACAGCTGGGATAGGCTCCAGCACCCCACCGCGACCCAGAAGGATAAGTGGTTTAGATGATGTATGTATGTATGTATGTATGTATGTATGTATTTGGGAACCTCATTTAATCCAGGGGTTGGACTGAAGGGCTGGGAAATATGTAAGAGGATGAAAAAACAAGGATAGTCTTATCTCATATGGGAATCTGATAAATGGCAATATGTGGATTTCAAATAAATATCATCATATATGGATTTCTTTTATGTCTGACATATATTTTTCACATTATTACTTCACTTTAAAAATGGTTCATCATTTCAACCAAGTAAAAATACTTAAAAAAGTACTGGATTCAGTTAACAAATAAAAACATTTATCTCTGTTATTTCCTTGTTATGTTGGGTCAAATTGACCCGTTTCAAAGTTTAAAAGTGCAGAAAAAAAAATTTGTAATAATTTTAATCATTTTTCTGCTGGGTTAATTAGTATAATGAACATGTTAATGAAAAATGACTAATTTAACATGTTAGGGTTATGTTTTCGGGTCAGTTTGCCCCAGCAGTGAGCATGCAAGCTACGAAGAGTAAAAATATCAAATTTGAACCAAAACGGATTTGTTTTCTTTTCAAATTTGAGACAAAATGCAATTATTTTTAGATTTTTACTTACTGCATGTTTTTAAGTGTACACTACGCTGACTTCGAGTGATTAAAATATTGTGAAACATTCATTACTTTGTTCTGATAATGCAACAAACTGGTACAGTTTGTTCAATAGTATCACAGTATGTGTGAGCAAAATTCAGTATGTTATCGTGAAGCATAACTTAATCGCTCTTGGCTGCACGGATGTTCTTGGTCAGGATGGCATTTAAAGAAGTTCAGCCATGATGACATTGTTTGCTTGATTGATCCATTATTGTTTTCTGTAAGTGAGATTCAGTTCCTTTTTGTTCTGCAGGAAATTTCTGTCTGCATCAGATAAAGATAATCTTTTCACTCTGGACCACTTCCCGGTGTGGTACCGCCGTGCTGCAGAGAACCGCCCTGGTCGATTCTTATACTACGTTCCCAAAGAAGACATGCGAGGTAAACATCTTACATTGTATACCCACACTTTACAACGCCACAACGTACAGCTGTCAGAAGTTTTTGCTTCTTTTATTAATGGTTGCAAACAAAATAATAAAACAGATTTAAAGGGAAAATAACAAGATAAATAATAGAAGTGGTTCTAAGAACTATAATAATTATTAAACTGGTTATTGTTTTGTGGCACTTAGCCCTGTTGTTTCATAACAGTCACTCCCTGTGGGCCTACATTCCTGTCAAGATGAAACAGCACTTTTAATTTGCTACAAGTCCTGTGATAGTTGGCCACGGCTTGAAGAGAGTGACATGATTGTTTAAAATTAAATCATACAGAATTAAACCAATTATGAAGAAGCAGCGGTCAAGTATAGTGTATTTTAATTGCGTTGATTGTGATACAGGTACACCCAGGAGCAAGATACATTCATGCCTCAAACACTAGAATAGAGCTGCACAATATATAAATACATGCAGTGCTGTGCAAAAGTCAGAGACCAATCCTCATTTACTTAATTTCCATTTAAACCACCAATAAGTACAAGTTGTTCATTTTTCCAGAGATATTAGATATAAAATAATCCGCTTGCATAAGGAAGGAGAAAGTCAACGGAAAATAAATGAAAAAAAAAAAAACTGGAGCTGAAAACCTTTTTGAAAAAGGTTCTATATAGCATCCAAATAGGTTCTTCTATTGTTACGATGTCAAGCTTGTAACAACAGAAGAACCATTTTGGGTGCTATATATGGACCCCTTTTATGAAGGTTCTATGTAAAACCATCTGTAGCACATTCATGCACATTTTCCATCAAACTGATAAACACTTTCTTGATGCAAAGAACCGTTTAATCATGCAAAGGGTTCTTTGGGTGTTCATGGTTCTATCTAGAACCCTTTTCTTCACTGAAGGACCCTTGAATAACCATCTTTTTAAGAGTGTAGTAACTACTATGAAAGAAAGGTTACAGAAGTGAGAAACAGAAGTGTGCTGATGGGTCATTAGAGTTTATAAACAAGTAAATATGTGAGATGCAGTCATTATGGATATAATCATATATTGTCACTGTCCAAAGAAAAACATGAATGTCCATTTCTGCATTATTTGAGTGCAGTAGCTGTTATGTATGTTAAAAGGAAAGAACATTTTTGCCTTTTCCTGTAAAGTTACCATTTTTGGGATATTAGTTTTTCTTGGCCTTCTGCCTCAGAACTCACAAGAGTACATGGGTCAGTTATGTTGTGCCCGGTCTGTAAGGGCACTGAAAGGGCTCTGCTTTCCTCAGATGTTTTCAGGGAATATGAATTGGACATTAGTGCCTCCTCCGGGCCACAGGATCATGATCCAGAGTATGAAGATGGTATTTAAACAATCTGTTTCTAATGCATGCATGTCTTTCCCTTCCCTTTCTATCATTCTTTCCTTTCTGTCTGTTTTCTGCTTTGTCTCTCTCACGCTTTCATGTTTTTCAGTTTTTATTGTCACTTTCACGTTGTCTTTAATCTTTACACACACACACACACACACACACACACACACACCTCATACACACCTCATACACACAGATACACTTTCTTTTACTGTCCCTCTCTCTCTCGTTCTCTGTATCTCTCTGCATGTCGATGACTTAGTAATGTAGTATAACTTTAAAGGGGAATTCCACCAACAAATAGCATTAACCCTCCTGTTATGTTCAACTGTTAGGAACAGCAATAATGTTCCCTGGTCAAGTTGACCCGATGCTTGTTTAACCATACAAAAGTAGTTAAAATATTTTTTTCTTCATTAATGTTATCTTTAGCTCAATTAATATCAATTTAATCAATATTTAGTATAATCAAGTTTTTCGCCCATTACAGATCATAGTTTACTATGATTAGTACAATGATTAATACAAACAAAACTTCTCTTCTGTTTAAATTCAAATGACACTAAATGAGCCAAAAATTATTTAAAATATTTTCCCTGTATTTTTAATCTTTGCAACAGGCCAGTTTGACCTGCAACATAACAGGAGGGTTAAGTGTGTCTTTCAAATCTTATAATGCATTACAGCACCGTTCACAGTCTTTCTGATCTGCTTAGTACTGTCAGCAATGATCTTGCTGATTTTGCTGGCTTTACTGCTGAACCTCAACCCTTTTACGTCACACACAGACGTTGTTCTCTGAGAAAATTTACCATTTGCAAGTTGACTCACCTCTCTTAGTTATTGTTGCTCTATTCCAAACCTTTCTGAATGGCAGGCCAGTGTTATCTGTAGTCAGTCAGTGCGTTACGTTAAAGTGCGTTATGTTAAAGGTGCTGCTGATGCAATTTAACAAATCCTTGTGATGGCTGGAGGAGAAATCTGGAAGCAACCTTTAAACTAGCTCTAAAATATCCTTTACTTTTTTAAAAACAAGAAACTTGTGTTCCTTATTTAATCTATTTATGATTATTTGCATTAATTCTAATGATATATGGTGCTTTTGCTAGCAAAAACACACTTATTGTGTAGATAAATGGTTTGAAATGATGTGGTTAAGTGCACAGTACTGTATGCAAGAATTAAACATATGAATGTAGGCCAGTTTTAAGGCAAAAGGAAAGGATTTTGGAGATCATTAATCAAACCAAGAAAATCTTTCAGCCACTAGGCATTAAAATGGCAGGTTTTTATGTCTAACAGGGAAGAGGTTTAAACGATTCATTCATAGACATCATATTAAAATGACTTTTAGCAAACACAGTAACCCAGATCTTATTTTAGAGCCAGTGTAAGTCTGTCTGTTAATAGTTTTGAGCTGTGTTTGATATTCCGCAAAATTTATTTACAAAACTTTTTCAGCTTCAGGAATAAAATAAAAACTGCTCCCCCCTCCAGATAATCAGGATAGGGTGAGTCAGGCATTATATGCTTCTCACTAACACCTTTCACCATCTCTTACTCTCATAATTCTGACTGATTCACTGCCTCCACCGCTCTCACTGCGGGTTTGTTTTGGGAGTTCTGTCTGATCTGAGTAATTTCTTTGCTTGACAGAAGAGTGCATAGTTGTGTTTGGCTGAAAGCTGTGTCAGTCAGTAATGTCTGTAAACTGAACAGAGGGTGGCTTATTACATACTAAGGCTTATTATTCAGTAGCTACAGGGACTTCAATGCAGACTGGCTGAGCTGAAGAGTAGGGGGTAAATTAATCTGAGGTCCTTTATTGCGTCTCTGCAGAAATCCACATCATTAACTGTTACATAAGGCAAATTACCGGCTGGTGGGTTATAAACAGGTAGATTCATAACCTTCAACACAAAGCAACAAAATAAACAAAGCAATAACCGCCTAGACATACTGTGGGTGTGTTTGCACCTGTACTTGGGTTCTCTTGAATCAGAAACAGATACATTCTTGCATTTTAGTCCTGATTCGCTTCGCGTTCACACAGACATTTAATGTTGATTTAAAAAGATGTAAACAAAAGTCATACGAGTAAAAGGTCATGACTGATTGGGCAGATTTTATGGCGTGCAGTAACTGTGATGATGTCCAGCAAACTGAATCGTGCTGTTCTCAGTTCTATCTGGACTCATTTGTTTTATTTATGTCTTGTTTTATCTGTCTTGTGATATTAGAACAATAGAGAGCCACGAGACTCTTTGCATTACTGTGGTTACAACGAGGAGCAGGGTGGCTCACTGCTTTTACAGAACGGAGAGACCTCAGCTCATTAATACATAATTTATGTGCACTGTTAAATGTGTAGTATTTTTAATGACCTCAGCCTTGTTTTAAAACACAAACTATCCATTCTATAATTATTGATTCTGACCTTATGAATAGATGATAGACACATGCAAAACAGTGTCAGCAATTCATCTTTTACGTGAATCAGAGAAGGACTCAGCCTAGCAAGGACGTAAATGCTTGTAGCTCATATCAGTGATTGATCACACTGATCAGGCATAACATTCTGACCACCTCCTTGTTTCTACGCTCATTGTCCATTTTATCAGCTCTACTTACTATATATGTGCACTTTGTAGTTCTACAGTTACAGACTGTAGTCCATCTGTTTCTCTGATACTTTGTTCTTATGGGGGTCCCTTTACGCTAATGGGGGCTCTGGGACCACTCAGCTGTCCCTCTGTTCGCAACCTGATATATTTTGAAGAAGCTATAAACTTAACCTATAGAATTTCGGTAGAATTCCCCTTTAAGCCTTGTTGCATTGCATGAATCTGAAACTGGTTTGCTGGTCATGCTGTTCAGAGAGCCATTTGTTGCACGGCACAGGTTTTGAATGCATCTGTGTTGTGATTTTCTGTAAAAGTAAGTGTGACTGTGAGTGCATTCTGATGTGTGTTTGTACTGAGAGGTGTATCTTTCTGTGTGTGGCAGATGGCAGAATCTTGATCGCCGCCACCGCTGTCACTGTGACGGTTGGCCAGAGAACAGCTGTGGCTGGAGGTAGGAGATCAATTCTTCTTTTTCTTCTCCTGACCTCCCTCCCTCCTGGTTCCACCACTTCATACACATCCCGCTAAGCTGTGTGCTTAGTTTTTCTCTTTAATCTGTGAGTTCATGCGTCATGTGCCCTCCACAGTTCGCTGAGATTCTTATAGAAATGAATACAGCAACATAAACCTTCAGCCACTTGATTTAGTTTCGCTCTTTCTTTCCTTTAGAGATGCACATTGATATTGGAATCATATCAGTATTAGTAGATAAAAACAGCATTGGCAGATATTTCGAACTGATATTTGATGTTGGGCTGGGCGATTAATCAAATTGTATTCCATTCCTTCTCTCAGTGATGCTCTCATTTTGTCTCATGTGTTCTAAATCTTTTGCCCCTCCCTAAAAGCCCAAACTCATCTAATTTATTTTGGTGTGATTCACTTTTATGTATTATTTTTATACATGTTTAGTAGTTTTCAGTAGGTTGTGACAGTGCAGTACAACATAGTTGAGCTTATTTGTTTTGATCTTATTTATTTGTATTCCCTATTTTAATATAATTTATTTAAATGCGTATATATTTATATATTATTTATTTTATGTATGTACTTTTTTCACATTTATTTTTAATATGTTTTGTAAATTATATTTACAATTTAAGTAAACCCACTTTTAACAAATATCTTTTAAACGTTCAGTAAATAACTGGTTGTTTCCAAAGTCAGTGGATAATCATGTAAATTAAGTGATTTCAGTATTGACCAAAATAACTGATTATGATTTTTGATAATGATAATCGAGTAGTCCTGATTTAATGATGTAATAATTGAACTCCGGAAGAGCAGAATGTTTAGGTGATGCTGGGGCTGCATTCAATCCCGACAAAACATTGCAAAATGTTTATTTAAACAGAAACGGTGGTGCGTTGAACACTGTTGTGTTACGTTAGCATCGTAGCTTTAGCAGCTGAGAAGGTCATTCTTGGCGTTCTTTTCAAAGAATTGTCAGAGCCTAATGAAATAGGTTTAAATACGTGTTTAATACATCTTTTAATGTCTTCAGTTGTCACGTACACCAAGCTGCAGCGGCTGCATTTGAATCCATTGTGTGTACTGCCTTTTTAATACGGTGGGGTTTATTTACACATTGCTGCTGATTGGGTAACACCTGTGACACACCCATCAAATGAGAGAGTTATTTAACACTGAAACCATAGAAAAACGGTGCACAACGTTTTGAGATTGAACATGAATATTGAACATGTTACTGCACTAAACTATCTGCATTTTATTCGTCTTACTGTATATAACCTACATAAATAAATGTTATATTTCTCTGTAATGCTAATTACAGTCCAAATGGGTTTAGTCCCAAATTCTACATTTTAGAATTGTTTATGTATCAAAATCAGCAGAGGTGTACATAAAAAATATCGGATATTAGCATTGGCCCACAATTCCCATATCAGTGCACCTCTCGCTCACCCTCTCTCTCTCTCAGACACACACACACACACACACACACACACACACACACACACACACACACACTGTTTGGCAAGAAAGAAAGGGAGGCATTACTTCTGGAAGTACATTTTTCTTTTGCTTGGTCTATCAGTGGGGTAGTGGAGGCACAATGGACGAGCCGTTGCAACAGGAATCCAACATCATTATAAACAGAAAAGAAAATAAAAAATAAAAATGAGTACTCTCGTGGTCTCCCAGTGAGAAACTTCATGGATTCTTCGGAGCTGAAGGTGATGAAATGTCCACATATATACAGTCCAATGCTATGTTTGTTTTGTTGATTTTTAAAGTGAAAATAAGTTGAGTTTCATTTGAAGTATAAATGCAATACAGACCAAAGACATCTAAACGGACCAAAAGTTTGTGTGCGTGTTAATCATCTCTTCATAAGCTCTGAACGTGTAAGTATAGAACGGATTGGTGTGGGTTTTAAAACGAGGCTGAGGCACGTTTTAGCCCTTGCGTAGAAAACAGTATATGTGACATTTTATGTAAAAATCATTTAATCATGGTTTGACATTGTTTGATGTCCTGTATTTAAAATAAAGTGATAACTAAAATGTAATTAAAGCATGGTTTGGCTTTTCAATGTAAAAGTTTGTACAAAATAAAACAGAGAACAGAAGAACTGATGATCTAAAACAGGTGGAGTGATTAATGTATGGTTTTACATTGGAGGGTCTCGTTTGAAGTTATTAAAAATGTTTCATGTGCACATTTAACTGCACACATAAATTCTGTATTAATGATCCGAGGTTTCTCCGTTCTGTAAAAGCAGTGAGCCACTCAAGGCCGTTACAGGGATTTCACCATGCGCCGCGTTGTAACCATGGCAACACAGAGAGTTTCTTCACTTGTTGCTCTAACACCAAAAGACAGATGAAACAAGACATAGAAAATCAAGGAGCCCAGATAGAACAGAGAACAGCACAATTCAGGCAATTCAGAAAGTTCGCCGGACATCATCACAGTTAATTTATGTCATGACCTTTGACTCTGCTTTGGTCCGGGCCAAGAGAACCCAGTGACAAGTATAAGCATGCCCTAAGTTAACACATTCTCTACAAACCTAAATATGACATTTTTCTGCAGTGAGCATGTGCGTTTATTTACTGGCTTTAACATAGTAGAAAAATAAAATCTATTAAATGTGCCATAATGTGGTGGCTGGTGAATAGCCAGACGTGCGCAGAGCAGACTACAGTAGAAAGTGTTTAATATGGGAGAATCCAAAATCAAGGTACAGAACAGGCGAGGGTCGACACACAAAAGAGCAAACAGAGTCCAAAGGGATAAGGCTAAAGTGGTAAACAAGAGAACGAGTGGAAACACAAACCGGAAAGTCAAAACACGAAAACAAAGGCTCGGTAATGCACAGAAACTGATACAATACTTCGCAAAGATACAACAGACATATATAGTCCATACAACAGGTGTCAGAAATCAATAATCAGGCGAGCAAGAACGTTGATAGGTGGATTGCTGAGAGTTTGTGTCAATGTGACCTCCCAGTGGATTCTGGGAGTTGGAGTGCTGAACGGAGTGAGGGGTGTTAGTCTCTGCTATGGAAGGCGTGACACATAACCTTTGCACATTTTCGTTTTCTTTTCCCCAATTTGTTAAATTCAGTAAATAAACAATGATTGTGCATTAAAATGTGCAGAAGTGTGTCTCTGTAGAGGGTGTGTTGAAGGGGAATTCCATCAATCAAAATCTCTGCATAATTCAGTGGCTGAGATGTAAACAAAGTCATTCAGAGTGGTTTGATGAGAAATCGTTTGTAGAAAAACCTGCCGACTCTAATTTTCCTTATATTCTTTACAGTGGTGGTGATAGGAACCAGGGGTCGCCATGTCTACAACACAAATATAGCCATTTTATTTACTATCCAGAACCACCAGTGAACCTACAAGTCTTCTGAGCTTTTATATGTAGTGTTGATGATGGGAAAATCATGGTCAGTCTGGAAAAATAAGTTTTCTTTGGGGACTGTTTTGCCTCACAACACATTTCATGTATCCCTCCACCATGGATGGATTAAATAAATTGATTAAAATACGTTTTAGACCAAAACTTTACAGAACTATCATAAATATGTCTTGCTGTGAATTCATAACCATTTCATGTAATAACTTTCTGTGAGGGAGCTTCTAGAGGTGGATGTCTGGTTCCTATCACCACCACTGTGAACAGTTCTGACTCGGTAAGTTTCTCTAGAATGGAGCATTTCACACCAAACCACTCTGAATGAACTTTGTTGACATATTAATCATTTTATTATGCAAAAATTTAGAGTTCCCTTTTAACTTATTTCACTTAGAAAATCATCACCACTTATACTTTGACCACAGGAACCCAAACTTTTGCATATGACTATATAATAAAAGATAAGAATATGAAAATTAGTAGATAATTTGAAATTTGAAAAAATTATGATTGGATGCTCATTCTGCTTTATTTACTTTCAAAACTGTAATAAAATGAAGAATAAGCTATTCAGGTGCGTCTGATAAAAAATGGGTGTAATTCATAGAATGTGGTAAATCTGAACACACTCTGTGTCTCATAGGATAAACAGAACTTAATCTTGTATCATCTCCTTTACAGAAGGGGTAAATTCTCAGCATTTACACTGAAACATCAAACCATGGCTTCACTTTTATGTCTATAAACGTGTTGTGCGTGTGCTCAGGCCTTCACTCATGCTTCACCTGCTAGCTTATGGAAATACATTCTTTATTCATTTTTCAACATAGAATTATTCCACAGCCCACAAGTAGTATTTAAAACGACTTATCTTGAGCGAAAAAATAAAGAAGCATTTCATTTTGTATCATCCCATACAGTTTGATAATAACAATCTTAGGAAAAAAAGATCAAGAGGAACAGTGGTATACAGTAGAGATAAATAGAGACAGAAATAAATCATAGCTCAAATAAAGTATAAGGAGGTGCATTAGGCCCACTCCAAGGGGCAACTTCTTTCCCCCCATACGTCACAGAGGTGCTAGTACCTCTTGTGTTTTTGAGGGAATGGGTGACCTAGCGTGATCTAGCCCTGTATTCACATGTGCAGACGAGGCACGGAAGCATGCAGACAGTGAACAACGACACACTAGTTGCTCGTCACATGTAGCACTTCAGATCTGACCCAACTGCAGTACTGCTTCCAATTGTTGGACTTGCTGATAATCAGTGAAATCAGCCGTAATATTAAAACCAACTCGTTTCTACACTTACCGTCCACTTTATCAGCTCCACTGACCATCCAGTTTTACTCTGTAGTTCTACAGTTACAGACTGTAGTCCATCTGTTTCTTTGCATACTCTGTTACCCTGTTCTTCAATGTTAAGGAACCTCACAGAGCAGGTACTATTTGGGTGGTGGGTCATTCTCAGCACTGCAGTGACACTGACGTGGTGGTGGTGTGTTAGTGTGTGTTGTGCTGGTCTGAGTGGATCAGACACAGCAGTGCTGCTGGA